AATTCGAAAAAGAAAATCGGTACAAATTTATAGGTTATACAGTGTATTATAGCGAGTGCCCGAGAGACAGTTGGCCAGTAAAAACTAATTTACGTTGTGAATAATTCTATAAAATTACTTCCACAGAAGTTACTAATATTCGAATATTGGATTCAAAAGGAACAACAATTCGTTTATCTACATCTAAAAGGCGGAAATTATAGTTATTTAATACATCAGTGGGGATTACATACGAGTCAAATTCAATATTAAAATCTTAATATAATTTTAGAAAGGCACGTCCTTTCGATGTTGAATCTCACGCGGTAGCAGAACAATTACCTCATTACTTTTCAGTTTTCAGCTACAGTTTTCGGTTAACTTTCAACGTTAATTAAGTAAGGATTGGAAATACAAGGAAGTGGTATAGTTTTGGCCAATTGCTTTTCAAAACATGACTACAATGCAATGTTAAACCTATATTACAAAATATTTCTTCCAAATCTAAAATAAAATGTGAACACATTAATGGTTACTGGGGTAGAATTTTAAATAAGTACAGGTAATAAAAGTTTTCTATATACATAAATTTGTTTTGTTCCATTAACAGTTTACAAAAAATTCAAAGGATTTTCAAAATTAGCATTAGCTCATAGTATACATCTTTTTATAAGGATTAACCTTTATTATTCGATTACAGCAATAATAAATAATAAAAATTAAATATTTACCGACCTGTAAATCCTAAACGATAGTCAACTGAGAGAAAAAAGTAGAGTCGTAATTTCAATCATACTTTGAATCGTTAATTGTGATTTATAAAATTCAAATAAATGTTTCCTCAAATCGTTATATTTTTCTAGATAAACAAATAGAAAAAGACACATATCTTTAAGGATTTACAGGTGGGTAATTTTAAATAGTTTAATAAATTGTGAATAGCCGTTGAAATTTTGTAAAATTATGATTTGAATATTATAATACATGTTTAATAATTATTTATAATCCATAAATACATGAGATTGTCCGGTTCCGCCGATAACAATTTAAAATTACTTATTTTATGAAACGGCACTGGCAGGTAAACATTACTGCGAAATTCTCGAAGCCGCCCGACGTGGTTTGACGTTTACCCCCTCTCTACCTACCAAAAGGCTTTTCAACTTTTACTTTCTCTATACAAAGAACCTTCATACTGACTTTTATAAAGTGTACTTTTATAGAGAACGCTAATTGAACTGAAAATTTTATATCACCTTCTGAAACAAATGATATTAAAATATGCATACATGATGTTTCTAAAATAGTGTAATATTCATCAAAGCAAGAAAATATTTTATGTAATTATATAGAGTCAAAAGATAACTCTTGAAAATTATTTTTAAAGATTATTCCCGAAAAGTTTTAAAATAAAATAATGAATTATTCTTTTACTAGCATTTTTCTATTTTTTAAGCAATAAAGTTTCTGAATTTACTGCTTTTACTTTTTTACACTTTTCAAAGGAAACGTTTTATGTAAGTAATTCGATAAAATATTTCAGTAAATCAGCAACATTTTTAAAAGTTTAATTTACTTTCGATACTATAAGAAAAAAATACAAATTAAAAATTAATAACATTACATATAATAAACACACTACGAAATTACTACTTGATCCTTAAAAGTAGTAAATCATATTCTAATCAACCAATGTTTGATCGCAATTAATTTTGTGATATATAAAACTGGCATTAGCAAAGGAATATGAGGTAATATAATACTAGATAAATTGTTTGTTTCATATTTAAAGCTGTTAATAGACTGAATCGAAATTAGCATTATAGTATATAAACCCTGTTTAATCGTTGTATATTATTATCTGAACTTAAATGCATATAAAGGATAGATTGTATAAGTTTTGCTTATCCGACAACAAATTTAAATTTACTGAGAATTTTTAATAAAGTTAGATAAGTGAGTTTTGTTTAATTTGATATATACTCGTTGATGTACACCATCGGAAAATATTACACACTTAACAGAAGCTGAAAGATGAATTATGTCAATTTCATACATAATCTTATTGTTACTAAAATACACGATTTATCTCCTGTAATTCATACACCAGAGATTTATCAATTATTTTCAGTGTTTTAAATAAGATTTATGTGAACTTTACTAAACTACACTGGTTAGAACCTCCTAGCCGTACATCCCGCAAGAGAGGCATGGGCAACACACAGATGAGGGGGTCTAGAACCAAAGGCGGCAATCTCCATTTTTAAGAATTTTGGATAATTGTGAAAAACTTTTTAAGTTCCTGGGAAGGTTTAGGGATGTTTTATTAATTTTTTTATGTTTATAAATAAAGAGAAAAAATTGAGATTGCCGCTTTTGCTACTCACTTTGGGAGATTGCCATCTTCAATTCTAAATATGTGCGAGATTGACTAATTAACTATTACAAAATATTAAAGGGTTGTTTATATTATTATTACTATTATTTATTAATAGGTAAACAGATAAATCAGTGTTCATTAAGCTAAATTAAAACAACTGGTAACTCTTTAACAAATTTGCAGTCTGCAAAACCCAGCAAAATTAAACAACCTGGTGCGAGTGATAATTCTACGGTAACCTGATTGGCGGTTTAAGTTTCTGCCGGTTTTGGTACCAACTGGCACGTGGAGGTTGCCGGGTTTGAAACTAACCCTTAATTTCAAAATTCAATTTCAATACGATTTTAAGGCATTAAGTTCGCGTTTTTTTGTTTAATCGCTTATGTGTGTTTAAAACTATAAGGTATTTAACTCATTTTCGCAAAAATTGAGATTGCCGCCTTTCGTTCTAGGCCCCTCAGTTATGTTTCCAAATGTAAATAGCCAAATAATTGTAAAATAATGTATCTCTTCTGTAGTACTTATTGCTGTGAGCATTTTTTTCAATAGTGAATAACACGAAATCAAAAAACGGATCAAGAATTATCGATACAAATTTAGAAAACACCTTACGCATAACAATATCACTTTCACCAGATATTGAATTTCTTATTGTAAAAGGAAGGCAATCCCAAGTTTATCATTACCCTATTAATTGTAGCACTAGATGATTGAGAAGCTATTAATTAAGTTTTCTTTGTTGAAGTTTGTTTTAATCTTTCCTCCAATTTTTAATAAATATTATTACTATTTACATGAAGATTTTCTATTTGGTCCTCTACAAAAAAAGGTTGCCTATGCCTGCTTTATGGTATAAGATAAACCACGAAGCAGTAGTAGTTCCAGTTAAAACATTCTAAATTATAATTTCACATGATTGTGGTAGTATGTGAACTGGCTTAAAATAATTAAAACTAACCTAATATATAAAAATGATATCATTTCGTATCTTTGAATATCTTAGATATTTTTTATTTTATATCATTTTTGGTAGGATTTATTACATTGAATACCTACAGATTCTGATTTAAAAATACTTACACATAAATGGGGAGTAACTATGTGTACTAAATTAAATTCATGAAAAAAAAGTATCAAAGCTTCGTTATGAGGAACATTGTGTTTCCAAGATATTCCTATATCACTAAATAGCTTAAAATGGGTTATTATACATAAACAAAGTCGCTTGTCCATTTAAAAAAATCATAATTACCGATTCCGGCTTCTATATGAGAAGGAAAAAAATAACAATATAAACCGGTGTTAACATTACACATCTGCCAAAGAAGAAGTAAATGCATAGCCATGGAGCTTCATTCAATTAAATATATTTTAATAATTTTGTTACTAAACGATTAAATAATGAAAATTGTTCGTCAATTTTGTTCTGCCTAGTCATGCACGTAGTCATAGGCCCTTGATTTTTATTTGGAAAGGATTATTCTAATTGCCTATCAATGCCCATCAAAATACTAAACATGATTATATGGTTATTTACATCATGGTGAAGTATCAAAGAAATATACTTGAGAGTAAAAAAATCGACTCAATAGCTGCACTCGCATTTTCGTCTTCGTCTAAATTATTTTATTGATTTTTTTTTAAATTTGTCATTGGCTGCGTTCATCCGCGCCATTTCAAGGAGCGCTACAAAAGTAGCGATCACTTACGCTACCTGATCGATCTTTATGCACGGATGAACCATGTTTAAAAGTGACATTTGATTTTGGTTTATTCATTTTACTTTTGAGTTGAATGTCTCTGGTTGAAGATTTGTTTGTTTATTTTTCAATTGCTAATATGCTAATATAACCCTACTAGTCACCAAGCAAACCGTGGACGTAAGTGCGTAAGACAGATCAGTGATCACCGATCAGACGTAAATAAAATGCGCTACTTTTAATGGCGGCCGCTCCTTGAGCGAAATGTCAAAATATACCGTTCATACGTGCCACTCGAGAGCGCTACCAGATCGATCAGGTAGCATATGGCGCGGATGAACGCAGCCATTGTCATTCCTACTCCTATGGCTTAGAGTGAAATTCTCGTACTTTACATTACACAAAATGGATACGTCGCTAGATGTCGCCGGTCTCTAAACAAAGCTAGATTTTAGTCCTATTTGACTTATGAGGTATTCATTTCAAATAATAAAAATATTTTAAAAAAAAATGAGGTAAAACTCTTTCACTTTATGCCATCGTATGTAGAGCATGCAATTATTCTTCTTCTTTTTAAATGTCAGTGTGGATTTAAGTCGCTTGTGCTATAATCACGGACATGATTCATATCAATATTTTATCTTTGTCAGTCATAGCCTAATTTAGACACATTTTTTGTGAATCACTCTTTAGAAATATTTGTGTAATTAAATAGAAACATATGTGCACTTAAATTGCTAATATTGAAGCTGTCTATTCAGAATAATAATTCATAATAAATAAGGCGTGAATGTATGTCCTCTCTGTGGTCTCTTTCTAACACAATAATGGTAAATGGGACCTTAATTCCTCGTTTAACCATTTCAGAGCAGCTTTATGACATTTGGGCTTGACAATAATTATATACACCAATCGAGGCATATCTGAAAGGGTTAAACATGCAGTGTGAAATAAATTCAGCAGTTCAAGTATTGGGCATTATAAAAAAACCCGAAGCACGTCAATGTTTATTTTATTGAAGGCTTTTGTGATGGCGACCATACCCTAAATGTTTTTAATAGTAAGATGGTCGTATGGAACTTCATTGAAAAAGGAATTTAGTAATATGGATGTTCATTGCGTTACTTTTTATTATTAGCGCCCTCTAGCGACATAAAAACTGTCATTTTTTATCAAGTGTGTCACTTAATTTGAAAGCTAATTTTAATATAAGTTCAATGCACTACATAACAAATAACTAAATCAAAAATGAACTTAAAAAGAATATTGCATTGTTACTAAATTAATGATTTCGTGTGAAGAGATGTTGTATATTCCCCAGAGAAAATATGTAGTTGCAGGGGCCCTATATGGTGTCGAAGAAAATTAATGATCTAGTTTATTGAATCCAACAAGGAAGACGAAACAGCAGATTTTGTTCTGGAAAGAACATGATTCACTCAATCATATACATCTGGAATAGTTGCAGAGAGGTCACATACATCTAATCGTAGAGATGGCACATTAAGAACATCTCTAACCACAAGGTTCTTAATTTTTTATAGAAAATGGACCACTATGGAAACTATTTTGGTCCATCATTAATACTGACTGGGCTACATGACTAATAGGTTAAAATATTTGTAAATTTGGAGCAATTGTAATCGTACTATTTTCAAAATAATTAGCTTTATAAATTGGAATTAAATACTACTTTTCACCCAGAATAATTTCTAAATGCTTAATTATTATTGATATTTTTGGTCTTCCTTTTCCTTCTGAGAAAATAGTATACAGATAATTTTCTTTTATAAAATAATTCATAAAAAAGTTGAGAAAGTAAAATCCAACCAATACATTTGTGTACCTGAGGATGAAAATGGCAAAACATACTAGCACTAATTAAACTTCATAGTTAGTCAATTCTTGAATAAAAAATACACCTCTGTTGAGATCATGATGTTCAATATTTCTTTTATCTTTAATGGCATTAAATATTTGGCAGAATTAAAACTAAAATTCATTAAAAATTAACCATGTCAAAATTTTGTTTTTAATCGTCACACTCTTCAGGCTTTGAATTAATTTTTAACAATTAAGTATATAAATTTGGTAATTTCTCTAAAAATACTAATTTGATATTAAGAATACTCAAACTACTATTTTAATTTTCAACTTCATATTTTTTTAATGTGTCGGCTTATTCTACAATTATTTAACAAAAGAAAGTTCCCATGTAACTTGGGCAGTTCAATTTTGCATGTTTGAAATAGATTATCAATTTTAAATGATTTATAAGAACTGTCATAACTCTGAAAGTTTCTTGAGCGATTTTTCTATTGATAACTTGCCAGCAAGAATTGCATGTTTCTCAATTTTATTCCAAAGAATTGCCATCAATAGAAAAAACACTGCAAATATTGCAACTACTACTCTTCCAAAATTGTAAACAATAGAAAAACCTACAGGCGCGTCATAAGCAAAAGAAAATAACAAAACACACATTAATAATAGGAAAAGACCAATATAAACACGTTTATGAGTCACTAATATTTCAAGAGATTTGTTCAAAACTGACATACAATCATGCAGTACAGTTTCTAAGTCATTATCTGTTTTGATGTTTTTAGCTACGTTTTTGCTGATTTCTAAAGTTGCTTCGATGGCTTCGTGATCAGAGTAACTGTAAGAGCAATAAGGAACACGATCAGGTAAAGGTAATCTATAACTTTTTAATGTAACTTGTAATTTTGAGCCTGGATGATACATGATGTAGTCTATTCTTTGACCGGGAATCTTTTTCTTCACCAAACTCGTGGGTGTATAGCTATTTTTTACATTTTCACAGGTAGCTATCTCATCTCTCGGTACTTCACAGCCATCAAAAGCATCTATAAGACCTGGTACTGCTTTTATAACTCTGAAAAGAAATATATATTTTCAACAATAAATTCCCTCAAAAACTGATAAAAACTACAATCGAAAGCCATACATTTTACAAAAACTTATATAAAAAGTGCTACTCAAAAGTTCACTTCCTTTCTCGTATATTTTGATCTTTTATATTCGGATTATGAAGACTAGAGAGAAAGAAGCGAATCAGCATATCCTAAATATGGTCCCAAAAACAAACACTAATTGAGCTTTTAGAATTCATCGCAAGGGCGATGATGTTCCAGTTGATCCTAGAAATGCAAGGCTTCTTATGGGAAATTTACATAATTTTGTGAAAATAATAAAACTAAACTTGGTTATTGCTGAATAAAGGACAGACAATACTTTTGTATTTCCTTTTAAATAAGTCCTACTTATTTTAATTGATAAACTATTTACTATTTAATCTTATCTAACTAAAATGCAAATTAACGATGATAAATGTGGTATTTGGTAAATACTTATCGTACTGTTAATTATTTTTTAGTTATACTTAAATATAGCTAAGGGCAAACTAAAACACAGTTTAACTAAAAATGTTTTTTGTAGTAAATTAGTATTTATACATAAATTAAAGTTTGATTAGCTACTTCAAGAAGTGTACTTGTATGGAGTTTATCTTTGAGGAGAATAATTTCTTTAGTAATATCAGAAATCGAATTTTCCATGAGTTATCCCCAAGAGCCGCTCGTCAATTTTCTTTCATTTTACTCAACATTGATGTACTTTACAAACCTCTTCTAGGCTTGTATGCGAAAATGGGACACCTAAATCTGTCACTATCTGACGGTTTATTAGGAGCTTTACACTCACGCCCGGGAACGAAGCAAATCCTTATGTTATGTTTTTTTTACCACTGATGTTAGGCACCTTTTATCACAATATTTGGTACTTTTTTAACTATATTTGTAGAAAAACACTTTTATTTACATTGACACATTTAGAAAATTAACGTCAGTTGTGAACAACCCACCACCTACAGTCACAAAAACGACGACGGAAAACTTAAAATTAGAATGCTTATTTAAAATTATTATAATAATAGGAATATAAAACATTTTTGTGAAACAACCAAATATACAATAAAACTTTAAAAATTGCTCAAAAATATGGGCATACATGCATTGCATTAGAAACAAATGTAAAATAAATGTTTGTATGCATGTCAAAACCACGTGACCTGAAACCGTCTATTGTTGCCTTTAACTTGTTCTATATTGAATATAATTTACTTACTTATAGGCAAGATCACCAGGTAGAGTGTTCAAATCACCAGCTAGTACTACTAAATCAACACCTTGAGAAGTGAGCAAGATAAACTGAGCAGTGTCATATGCTTGTAAAATACGATGAGCTTCATATTCATCATTGTTTCGATTATATTCTGCATGTAACTAAAAAAAATAATACTTCATTATTCTAATTTAATAACCAATATTCTAACATTTTTTGATTTGAACAATTTTTATCTTAAGAGTTAAGAGGAAATTTTGCATAGAGTACCTTTCTTACAAGACATTGCATGTTGTTTGTTGATATGCATTTTGAAGGTTTGAGTATTTTGGTTGACAAAATTTTCAGATATTCAAAACAATATTTTCTATATCAGTTAGTCTGGGATCTAGTTTTTTGTTATTTGTAAACAATCTAATATTGTAGTTTTATTTTCTTTTTAAGATTAATAATTAATTCATAAAACTAGACAAGAAATGGGACATTTTATTCTCCATTCATTTTATTTTCATTTTAGGTACTCTCAGAATTTGTTTAATTTTTAGCATGTTATGTTTTAGGTCATTAAAGGCAACTTTCTTATGGACTTTAAGTTTGCAGCTCTACAGGGTGAACTGTTATAAGGAGTGCAAAATTAATATTTTCGTATATATCTCTACCACTCTTAAGTAATTAATGTTGTTTTCCATAAAACTTATGTCATCTGTTATTCTTATATATAGTTATTCATGCTTACTTGCACTTTGCAAAATAAATAATACAGCGTATTCAAAAAATTAGAAACATAAGTTACTGAAATAAGAGTCACTTTCATGTATTACCATAATGATGGTGGGTGAGGTTTTCCGGGTTTTCCTGACCTGTAAGTCAAATGGCACCATAAAGAAATTAATTAATGAAAAAATACATAATATTTAATACAAAAATATAAGTTTCTTTTCATACATTTTTTAGACTTCCCACTAAATTATAAAACAATATTAATGAAAATGATTTTTTTAAACTGTTTTATAATATTACTTTAAATATTTATAAACCATTTAGCTGTACACACCGAAAATAATTAATAAATCAGCCAAATTATTTTTTATCAATTGCAAGGCTTACTATTTTGAATCATTGTCCAAAAAATTAATTAGATATATGAATTTATACTATTAAAACAAGTACATTTTACGTTTAAATTCATAAAAGCGTGAAAACATTTTTGAAAGGTAATGTTAAAACCAGGGATGATGCGGATGCCGATTTTTTCACATCCGCGGATGTGAAAGCGGATGCGGATTTTTGAAGGCTCACATCCGCGGATGCGGATGCGGACGCGGATGTTTAAGATCCTATATAAAAATAGAATACGAAAACGAATGAAGAATTAAAACAATGATAAAGTATTTATTAACATTTTTATCAATGAAAATTAGTATTATGTTATGTATGTATTCCTATGTACAATGCTCCTATTTTTTTTAACTTCACTTACTAATTTTCATATTAGTAAGTGAAGTCAAAAATAGGAACATTGTACTTAATAAAGAGTAATATTGCCACCTTTTCTGATTCAAGGCGGTTACGCAGAAGTTCGTAAATTAAACCCGCGCTACTAAATAATTGTTCGCTAGGAACACTGCCTGGTGGAGTGGATAAAAATCTTCGTGCTATCGGTGATAATATCTTGAATTCCTCTCGATGAACACTCCACCATTTAAGAGGATTTTCATCAGAAATGACTCTTTTTTTAGTGCGGTAAGAAAGTAATTCCTTTTTAAGTACAGCTTCAAGGCTACCATTTTCTGATATTTCTTGACTCTCATCTTCACTTGACGAATCTAACATCGTAGCAAGGTCGTTTTTTAAGCTTGGCTTTCTGACGAAACTTGATGGTCCTGGTCATAGTTGTTTCATATTCTTTTCCGTGAGATCAGTCATTCTCAGGAAACGCGTCGTGCGAACGGCACGCGTCATTCGCCGGCTCCACCCAATTTCTTTCTTGTCGCAACTCGCCATTTGTATTACCTTCGCATCCGGATGAACATCCGTATTGATTATTGCGGATGCGGATGCAGATGTTCAAATCTATGCGGAAACTCCGCATTTGCGGATGCGGATGCGAATATTCGCAACATCCCTGGTTAAAACCTGACCAAGAGCATCTACAATAGTTCTTAATAAAACACTTGAGAGTACTTTGTGTAATTTTCAAATCATGCATACCCCATGTATCACAAAGTACTTGAAATATGAGTATGTGTGCCTAAAGTTCTTGCACTAATAGGTACTATACTCAAACAACTGTATAATTTTTTTTATTTGTTTTAATTTTACTAAAATAAACCTATAAAAATAGAATTACTTATATGTAGAAGAGTGGTAGATTGACATCTGTAGTAAGATCAGTTTTTTATACAACAATCAGAATCGGCTTTTTATTTAAAATATGTCTTCTGAATAATTCATTCAAATCAGAGTTAGTAAGATTATTTCAGCACTCATAGATGTATGGGCTCCATTAAAAAAATTCCAGGAGGGGGCAAGTCTTATAGGAAGGGTTAAAACGCCCCAGGCAATAGTCGAAAGCTATTGCAGACGGACTCCTTGTCCTCGTGTGGCGACGCCATTGTATGAATTTAGAACGAGATTAGGTCAGTTGAAGAGAGCTATGATTATAATAAAAGCAAATTTGTTATTTCTACAATATTTTAGGTACACCAAGTATTTCATTAAATGAGTTTTTGTATTTAATAATTGCTTATGTAGCTCTATCACGCCCTGTATTATATTTATAAAAATTATCTTTGATATGATACAACAAATAAGTAAACAGAAGTCATGTTCTAACTATTAATGTATTAACTATATTATTTTATTAACTTATATTCCCAATTTTTTTGAACACTCAGTATGATTTATTTTACAAAGTGGAAGTAAACATCAACTAACTACACGGTATAAGTTTCATGAATTACTTAAGAGTGGTAGAGATTTATATGAAAATATTAATTCTGCACTCCTTACTTTTGACTCCTTCTAACAGCTCACCCTATAGAGCTGCATACTTGAAGTCCTTAAGAAAGTTGCTTTTGATGGGAATTTGAACAAATTCTGACATTACCCAAAATCAATATAAAAAGTACCATTAATAATATCAACATGTCTTATCTGTTTTGTTTTTTTTTTTTTTTATTTAACAAGCTACTTGTTGATAACAAAAAGTATATCCTTTTTTCAACTTACATGGGCAGTATATACATTTACACTAAAATTGTTAACTGTTAATTTACACAATCCAACACCTTTCCCACCAAACCAATCACCATGGTGTATTTTGTGAATATAACCATTTAGTGGCCATTGATGAAAAAAAGCTTCCTCAATTAAATGTTTTGAATATATACATACTCCAGAACCAGTTACACCACTAAAAATAATACAAAGTTAAAATCTGCTTAGTTCACTTATTATCGAAGAATCTCATTTCATTATTTTGGTGCTCCTTATAAATTAACACTTTTACATGTAAGGCTCTTGAGGGATTTAATGTTAGGAAAGTAATACAATAAAATCACTAATATGGTAAAGAACATTACAGAATTGGTTAAAATTAATGTCACCTAAAGAAGATTTTCTTAATGTATTCTTGCATTTCGAAATGTATAATAAAATCAAGCCTGTCTAAACAACTGTTGGGTAGCCGAAGGGGCTAGTCGCGAGATTAGTGTACTTTCATGTTCTCACAACAGTTAAGCAATGATCTGTCCAGTTACGTCGAGGATGGGCGACGGCTGGGACATTTCATCATAGGCTGTGCCACCATGTGACTTAGCTGACTAGTGTTAAACCATCGACGATGTGGAATGAATGATCGTGAATGAGTGACCGAATTGGAGAATGGGAAAGTAGTAGGACCTTCAAACGGTAGTACATTAAGCCCTAGACTGCAGTGCCGCCACGCTACAAATGGATTAGGGTGATAGTACGGGGGATTCGAAAGGATATAAAAATACGGAAAAGGTTTATTACAACATTTTTATTTATATACAGATTAGTTAGAGTCTCATAAAATGGCCACCATGCTAGGCATAGTTGCCTGTCCTGTGAGGCAATTTTAAGAGACAAGAGTTTAATGGAGGAGATTGGAGGAGAAAGTCAGTTATTAGTTAATTTTTAACTGATTTAATTATCTTAAATAAATTATAAAAATTGTAATTATCATGAGAACATCAGAAATATATAAGAATGATTAAGTACATATTTTTTTACCACTATTTTGTATATTCTATATTTTTTATTTCTTTTTTATATTTAGGTAATGTATTAACTAATTTTGATGCATAGAAAAGAGAGGAGTTATAAGTAAGTTTTTTAAATAAATCCATTGTTATATTTTAATTCATTTTAGAACGTATTTCATTTGTATTTCGTTGAGGACATTTTATTTGTTGGCCAAACATTCTTAGAAGACATTGGTAAATATAATTGACCTAATATTTAAAATATTAGTTTCTTGATATAAGTCTTGTGTAGAATAAAACCTATTTTTTTTTTACTATTTTTTGTATTAGCTTTTAGGATATCTGCAATGGATTAAATGTTGTTTTGAATGTTGCATCCCAGGCAGTAATGTAATACCTAATAATTGATTTGACCAGAGAATTGTATACTATTAAATTTTTCTTAGTTAATATGTCAGGCATTTCATAGAATTTGTACATCAAAATTTGGATTCTTTTTGTTACATATGCAATATGATCAGATCATCTTAAATGCTGATCTATTAATACTCCAAGATATTTTAGTGAGTTTGTTTTTTGTATAGATAGATATAGATGTACAGTAACAATCATTTTCTTTTTTATATTGTGATTTTTGGAATTTAATAATTAAGTTATTCAGTTGATCTACTAACGTAATATATTTAGTTTTTTTAACATTAAGTTTATTTTTATTTAACCAATTATGGATTTTTTGTAAATTAGTTTCCACTGTCCTTTGGGCTTCTATCATGTTCTTTCAGTAAATATTAGTACCGTTCATCAGTGTAACAAATTATATGGCCTTTAAAAGTGTTAATTTTAGTTACAATATTTATACATACAAGGAATAGTATTGTTCCTAATACGGTCCCCTGCGGTACTCCAGTTAGTATAATACAATCGCAACTTATTTCATTGCCAATTTTTACTCTCTGTATTCTACCAGTTAAGGTAGTTCACTCGCGACAGTCGTACATAAAAATATCGCTTAATGGTGAATACCAATAGTTCGAGATTCTCAATGCTAATCAATTTTATTTTTGTAAGAGACTGTACAAAACACATATACTTAAGCTTAGATATCGGATATGTTATGATTTTAATAAAATCCATTAGGCAACCTCATAAATATAGGAATGGTTTGCTATAGAAATTTGTGACTTCCTCATATTAATTTTAAGGTTTGTTTTGATTCAAACAGTTAGCTGATTCCAGTTCTCAAAGACACTTTAATTAACCATATATTTCAATTTTATTGAATTCTTAAGAAAAACCGTTTTACGAGTGAACTACCTTAAGTAGTTTTTCATTAAATCCGAATCTATTTTATTTTGTAATAATAAATTGTGATCCAGTATCGAATGCCTGTCACTAATTTAATTTCCAACATAAGGTGTAAACACAAATATGATTTTGAATGGAGATCTCTTAACCCTTTATTCCCATGCAAAAACCTATGATTTTCATCTTATATCTGTTATTACACATATTATATTAATTTTAAACTGCATATTCTAATAATTACTTAATAAAAAAATAAAACCTTTCTTATATTAATTTTAATCAAATGTATATTTTGAGTCAATAAACAAACTATTATTATAACGTAAGCAAAAATCACATTGTTTTTGATGGTGCATGAATACCTATATAACTTATTAATTCTAGACAGGAATTAACCGAGGTTATACATTTTCACATTCCTTTCCTGATGGCCTGAACATAAACCTTTGCAACTCCCTTTCTCAGATAATACAATTGTAATATTTTAAGTTTTTTAAAATTATAAATCTAAGAATGGCATGTTTGACTTTTCCAATGTTTTGTATGTAAATGTTATAGTAGGAATTGGGTGACTATCCATATGCAACATGTTTTAAATTAGAAGGAACTAACTCACAATAGAGTAATAATTTTATTGCATTTAAGTGAATTCCTGAACATTTTATAGATTAGTTCTAATGTTCATCATCACAATCAAGACAATGTCAACTGTATGAACTTATTATTACATAAATATAGTTATTCCACAGTCCAAAGTTTGGTTTATAAACTTAGAAATTGATAATAGTTAGGTATTATATTATGTTCCTTAGATAAATAATAAGCAGATAGCAACATAATACTTATATGACTATAAAAATTAAACTTATCAAATTCAGTAAAAAAATTACAGTAAATGATATACTGAACCATTCAGGTATTTTCTTTTAAAACTAGAGCCTCGCAGGCTAGTTATATAAGATGTCAAATAACTTGCAAATATGATGTTTTTTTGATAGAATACTATTTTCTGTATAATTTTTGTTGTAAGATTATTTTTGAAATAAACATACCTATGATTAATGTATACAGAATTTAAAATAATAAATACCCATAACGAACTTAAAATAATTATTGTTTTACCTGTAGAAATAATGTGAGTAAGGGAGAACCAAAGATACTTCATCCTTGATCAAATAAAAATCGTGGTCAGTCCATATTTCTTGTAAACAAACAACATCATAAGTACTATTAGCCAAATATTCAGCAATAGCTTTTATCCTATTTTTCCTATCTTTGGAAACGAATTGGATACCCCTAAAAAATATTTTAAATTATTTTTAACATATGGACGTTCATATTCAAATATATTTACCAGCAATTTAAGGAGATAATTTTAAATTCTAGGCTCATTTTGAAGTTTTAAATAAAATAAAAATCCTCAAACAGAAAAAATATTCATTCTTCTATATTCTATATACAATAAAAATGTTGGATATTGGACTTCTATGAAATTTAAAAGAAATGTTGTTATTATGGCTATTTGCATTGCGTTCGTCTGCCAAGTTCCTTTAACTCCTTTAACACTTTTAACTCCAAACGACCCTTTTAGCGTTCGGCTTAGTCCGATTAGTGACAGTTTAACACGCTTAAATGTCATTTGAAAGCACCCTAAAATTTGTCCCGCTCCAGCCCCTGACTATCCGAACTCGCCTATTAAAATTATACATTTGATGTTTGCATTGCGTTATTTTTTTTTAAATAAGAATTTCATGAAAATTATTATTAAAAAAAAATAATAAAAAATGCATATAAAATCTGGTGAAATCTGGCAACTTTTCAATTCGCAGAATCTGGTGAAATTTGACAACTTCTTGAACCCATTGCTGGTGAATTAGGCATTCCAAACAATGAAGTGGAGAGGGGTAGAATGATAACTGTCAATGAAAAAGTCTGGACACTATGCACAATTTCGTTTTGCACATTTTGTAAACAAAATTCAGGGACGGTTTAACAACATTTGGTGCAACAATTATAAAATAGTGCATCGAAAAATAATTAACAAGTATAATTTAATACTAAATCGGAATAAAAGCATAAAAAATCATAAATATAAGCAAGATAACAAAGAATTGACGCCAAAAAATCTTACAACAGCCAAAACACAAACAAAAAACAGAGCTGAACATGAACATAATCGCTGAATAAAGTCGATCCTGGAATTTGTTTACAGTGCTTTAGGGCAACCTCTCCTTGTCATTTACGTGTGTAAGAGTGGAAGGCTGAATCACGCATAATTTCTACACTCGTGATGGATGCGCAGACGGTACCTTATCGTTCTACCCTCTCTACTTCTTTGATTCCAAACAAATGAATTATCAGTGGGCAGGTTTGGTATATCTAAGGGTGGCGACATATGGTGTATTCTATCTACTTTACGTAAAATCATGAATAATGGATTACATTTAAATATTTTATGTCAAACACAATAAAAATAATATTTAAAAAACCCACCTATACATTTCTTCATAAATTGGCAGGCTTGGCGAGTACTACTTCGAATAAAAATATCGTCCAAGTTGCAAGACTATGTCGCTACCTCCTTAAATATACAAGAATTTCCCACTGGTACCTATTGTTTGACAGGTCGTTGGAATGCCTAATTTCTTTTTCATCTGGCAACCCTGTCGTGGACTCAGCTGAGTTCTGTTTATAAATCAATGACATTTATAAATACGGACCCAAGTTGTCAAATTTTTAGCGGGACTGACTGGGACGCTATTGTTTTTCTACTCATAATTTTTTAGAAATAGTGAATTGGAACAATTAAGAATGACTTCTTTTAAATCATTATGTGAAAAGTACTTTGGCTGCAGTAATTTTTACGAAATATTGAAAATTACAACAGATGCATCTGAAAAAGAAAGTAAGTCTATCCTATCGCTTTTTTGGTCATAATAGTAATAAGGCGTTAAATTTATTTATTATTACAAAGTAGTATACTTTTGTTTATTTTAAAGAGGATGTGCGAAAGAAACAATGTTTCTAAAATAAACTCATTCCTTTTTTTTACTTTTTTATGTAACGTAAAATGTTTCTTATGATAGAAAAATAACAGTTTATAATTTTCAGTAAAAAAAGCTTATCACAGATTATCTCTTCTTGTACATCCCGATAGAGTAACTGATGATGAAAAACAAATTGCTACAGAAAAATTCAAGGCTTTGGGTAAAATTCATTCAATTTTGCAAAACCGAGAGAAACGCAAAGTTTATGATGATTGTGGAGATTTTGATGAAGATATGGATAATTCCGTTAGCTGGACAGATTACTGGCGGAATATGTTCAAAAAAATTGAACTTAAAGATATTCAAAATTATGAAACTGAATACCTAGGTTCAGAAACTGAATTAAGAGACATAAAAAGAGCTTACGAAGGAAGTAGAGGGAATATGGATACTATTTTGGAAATGGTTCCATTCAGTAACTGTGATAGTGAGCCAAGAATTATAGAAATTGTTCAAAAAATGGTTGATAATGGAGAAGTTGAAAGTTATAACACATTCTTTAATGAAAGTAGACAAAGAAAACTTAGAAGACGTAAAAAATGGGAAAAAGAACATAAAGAAGTTGAAAAAATTAACAGTGAGTAAAGTTCATTCATATTCTAAATCCATAATCTTATACATACATTGGAATTTTGTATTGTAGAACACTAATGAAAAAGTAAAAGTGAAGCTGACTGTATGAAACATTTTGGTTTTACATTTGCTTATAATTTTTTATCAAAAATTTAAATGTTTTTACTTGATTCTACTATTTAAAAACCTTACTAAATACAATATTATAATTACAGTGGAAGATCTAGAAAAAGAAATAGAGAAAAATATGAGAAACAGAGTATCTGACTTCACTGATTTTGTATCTAATCTGGAAGCAAAGTATGCACCCAAAAAAACTAGAAAAAGTATTACTGATGGAAAAGATGGTGCCAAAAAAAGGAAGACATCAAAGAAATAACTTTTTCATCTAATTTAAAAGGGGTAGTTGAATTATAAGATGTTTACCTACTTAAGTTTATGTTTTCTATAACAAATTAATGTATGTGATTTTTTTCTAATAAAACTGTAATCAAATGTGTAAATCATATAAATGTACTTTCTCTTGGAAATCACATATACTTAGTTTTTTTTATTACAAATAGAGATAATTCTGATTTTAAAAGGCCATCTGTTAAGACATGGCTGATATATAGTAAAGCCAATTGGATATCAGTTGGTTATATATAAAAGGTTGTAGGGAGTTTTTGGCTCAGTGGTAGTAGGGAAGGGTAAAGCAGTGACTTTTAATATCGGGTACAGTCTGCTTCAGTTTCATAAAATACATGTTTCAAAAAACCTGTTCCAGTTCCAAGTTGTTCCAACAATTTACACCATTGTTTGTAGTTTCACGTCTGTTACGACTTGCGAGCGCGGAGTCCCGCACATACAGAAACTAAAACCAAACAGTTTCACGTCGACAGGACAGTTTAATTTTTTAATGTTTAAACTGTTTCAAGGGTACCTGTCGCAGTGTAGCAGTCGTAAAAACGCAAATTTCAACTTAATAGTTGTTATTAATTATTATTAGATAATTTAAACACATTATGAATGTTTTTTTGCTGAAAAAAAAAAACTAAAAACACTATTGAATAAACAAATAAGTATGTCTCATACAACCTTGTTTTATTTTAGAAAAATTATAAAATAATAAATATCAAGCTTCAATATTACTGCTAGCTAGTCTGTAACTGCTATAACTACAACTGTAACAGTAATTAATAATGCCAACGCTTAATAACAAGTTGTTTCAGAGCCTCGCAATTTGTGCTTTGTGACAGCAAGTAGCAACTTAAACTGAATCTCCGTCCACGGAAACAACATACCTGTTCCAAGTGAAAACATGTTTCAAAAACAACAGATACTCCTTCAGCGACACAATCCCACTCAGTGGTTAAAGTGTGGACCTTTAAATACCTGTGACCGAGATTGTTTCAAGTTAATAATAAAAAATGGCCTTTATTTGTACATACAAAAAATATATAGAAATGTACATTTGCCTGGACGAGAATTAGCCTATGGCTATTCTTACATCTAACCCTTTAAATTTTAGGCATAGTTTAAACAATCAATAAATACGTTTTTTACAATATGCAAATTCTAGTAAAACATTTAATAAGGAAAAGAAAAAAGTTCTAAATAGTAAAGCCTAGACATAACCCTGAACCAGATAGAGTCTGGAGAATTAAAAATATCAGCATTAGTGACAATTAATTTTGTTGGGCAAAAGGCAGGTATTTAAATATCTAACTAGTTGAAACATCGACACAGAATGAAGTAGAGATGACAAATACTATTTTACGGTATGACAGATGGACACGCTTCGAGTGATGGAAAAATGGCAACTTTGATTTATTTAAAGTCAATAATTTTTAATTTGAAGATGGACGGAATGAAAATGTTTTTATATCATTTAAATAAAGCTATTTTTAAACAAGTTATAAAAGTAATTTTAAAAAACAGACTTCAAAATCGTGCAAATGCCATTAAAAATTGCGATTTTTTAATTTCTCATAGATCATCAGATCCTGACCAATTGTATCTGAGGTATCCCCTTTCTAACGAAAGAAGAATCAGAAATCGAAAATAGAGAAAAAATAAAGAGATGATTTTCTCATATACAGCATTATTGGATCTCAACCAAATTTATATGGACCACCCCTGAGTTACCCCGTTTCTAACAAAAAAAAAGACACTTAGAAAATAAATGCAATAAAAATTGTAATGCAAAAATGCAGACACTTTACAATAGTCTCTCTTCATTCTATCTCAAGTTGAAATAAAATATAATTGTATGTAGTAAGAGTATTTATATGTGCTATGATGAGAGGTAGTTGGCTCTTGTCAATTAAAGATTTGTGTGGAATTACATATATTGACAAGTATTAAAAATTTAAAAAAACCGACTTCAAAAACGTGCAGATGCCATCACCACGTCTTATCCAAATTTATTTGGGGCCACCCCTGAGGTACCCATTTACTAACAAAAAACGAATCCTATAAATAGGATAAGGTGGTAAGGCATTGTCCCTAAACATACATGAAAAATGAAGAGTTTGAGAAATTTCTCATGGACCTAATTATTAGATTTTGACCAAATTTATATGGGACCACCCCTGAAGTACCCCCTTTCTAACAAAAAAAGAATCATTGAAATAGGACACCGTGTTAAAGAATTATCGCTAAACATACATAAACAAAAAATATATCATGATAAATTGAGAACCTTCTCCTTTTTTGAAGTTGGTTAATAAAGCCTCAAATATACTTGTAAAAAAATGTACAAAACATTATATAAAATAAGTACAAAATAGTTTGGAGTATTAAATTGAATTAGTAGTTCAAGACAAAGTAAGTCTTCTAATCAATATCAAGTTTTGCATGTATTCTTCAACTACTGTTTTCAATTCTCTTCTATAAAATTTAACTACAAGAATGCCATCTTCTAAACACCCATAAATTGATAGTATTTCACCCTCACCTGGCATATTAGTAACATATTTTAGATTAATAGGTATAACAATATTTTGTTGAGAATAGTCCCTAACATAACTGCCATTTTCATTTGAATATCTGTAGATTCCTACTAAGTGAATATAATTATCCAATAAATTATCTTTGGGTAATTTTGATGCTTCTTCAATCGTGTAGAAGATATAAGGTTTATTAAAATATGATGAATAATTTGGAGTAATTGGCTTGTTTTCTCTCAAAAACATGTAATTTGGGTTTATTACATATTCATTCCAGAAATGCTTTGGAATTGCACCCGTTTTCTTCCTTTTTATTTTTAAACGCCTGATTTGTTTTGGAGGAGTTGCTTCTATTACATCTTCACATTCAAGAGACATTTGATTATTAATATATATTAACGAGTATTACAGACAAATTTACTTAAAATTTGGCAACCGTTATAATTATAATAACCATAGAAATGGAAAAACTAAATAATAACAACATAACCTACACCAGGGACCGTATTCTTGAGTCGTAGGAACGGCGTTCCTATAGGAATAGAGGGCGTGTTTCTCCTGAAATTCGCTAAGCCCGTATTCTTGAAGTCATAGGAACGTTCACTTCCTACGAAAGTCGTAGGAACATCGTTCTACTGGTATTTCGTAGGAGAACGCTGGTGTTCTCTCAAGAATTATTAGTAAACGCATGCGGGGTAGCTGACTTATTATTTTTGGCCCGTAATTAAGTAATTTTTTTAACTTTTTTCATATTCGTATATTTCGTATTTTTATATTTTTAATAAAATCATTATTGATAACAATAGAGTGAATAATTTATTAGCACAAGTAAAATATTATTTGGTACCTCATCACAAAAATCAATTATTGTAATTCTAATAAATGCATGGGTACCTATATACATACCTACATATCTATTATTCGTATTCTGGGAATTGTAAATTAGGGAAAATCCCAAAATCCTAATAAATAAGGGTCGTACTATTTAGTAGGTAGGTACCATTTAAGCTATATTTATTGCCTAAAATGGGAATACAAATTATGAAAAATCCCAAAATTGATATTAGTGTTCAGTGTTAAGAAGTTTATAAATTGTCTTCTATAACAAATATCTTTACTGAAAGCAAATTGTATGGTTTTGTTTTGTAAAAATAATTACAAAATTAGAAAAACACAAAGAATGATTGTTAAAAATGTTAATTTAATCCCATTAAACTGAGAAAGTGATATTTGAAAAGTTGAAATAAAGTATAAGTATTGACAATAATCTAGTTAAGCTACAGTTAGTTAAAGTAGGTAGCACGGAGGAAGGATAATTAAGAGTTGCAGATTCCGTAGGTAGTAAACAAAAGTTATAAAAAAATTTTCGAAATAAATTATAACCCTTTATATAATAAGTTAGTTGAAAATATTTCAAATTTCTATGAGGGGGTCACTCCAGTTTATATAATTAGTCTAATCTATATATTTGTAAACATATGTATTGAATTTTCTTTACCGAATTTTTATTAATAAAATTATTTATTTGATATTAATACAAACTTACTTTTTTTTAGCACAAAATTTAAAACAAAATCGACTACCTATACTATAAATTTCCGGTTTGCAAATTTAATTTTTAATTAAGTATCTTAAAAAAGTGAACTCTGTAATGGCTGTACGTTTTTCTTTTCCCTCTTCTATGCTTTTAATAAAAAAAATATATATATTTTTATCATATTATAGAAAACTCCTACGAAACGACCTCTTAATCACACTCTTATAGCGGATTCGACTGGCTGCAATAATGCGCATTTAATTTGACTTTTTTAAGTGGTGTTTGTTCGACTGACAGAACCTAATTAATTAAATGTCAATTATTGCATTCGACTGAAATTGCTCGGTACCAAGGCATTGTGAAATTTTTGTTCGACTGGCAGTCGCTCTTGCTCAAAGTTCGAATTTTTTGGAACTGTACTTTTTTTCAGTGCCAGTGTCATTTTGGAGGTTAGGAATTATTTAATATTTTTAAATATATTACCATCTTTCTTTTTATTATTAGTGATAATGGAAAATCTTTGAAATTAATAGAGATATAATTTTTGGTTTGGCAACTATAAATAAATATCGTTAAAAATTTGTTAGAAATCTGAAATGTCAAGTGCTAACTGTGCCAGTCGAATAGCGATAGAGACGCGCTACACCAATGTCGAACTCTACCTCTTGCTTGCTGTATGCACTGCTAGATATAAATTTGAATTATAAAAATGCTGCCCAAAATCAATTCAGAACCGAAAGCGCTTTGTCATCGAGCAAGAGCATTTGAGTCGAATCCGCTATTAATTTCTAACTCATAATTAATATTCTCCAAATATGTCAAATTCAATTAGGCATTCCAACGACCTGTCCAAATGGCTACCAGTGGGTAATGACAGTTTAGATATGGCAACCCTGTTGTCATTAACAGGGTCAATGATACATATATAGTTATATAGATTGCTTAAAGCTGGTCGTTTACGAGCGGCCATATTGCCTGGCAAATATTTATTAATTTGAATCGGTTTAGAAAAAATGTGTTTTAAAACTAATTTTTAGCCTTTAGACATTAAAAAAAAAATAATTGCTTACATTTTTACTTCAAGGCATAAGCTTATGTTTATTTTGAAAAATATGGATGATCAATCTATGTAACTATCTATTTCATTGACCTTGTCAAATCACTAGGCCTACAGGGTTGCCATCATTTTGCTATATCATAACCCGTCAAAACCCACTGGTAGCCATTCAGTTTGGAATGCCTAATACGGATAGGTGACAATTTTAATATTTTCTTCTTTTATTATCACAAAATTATATCCAGTTAACAAAATATAGTTCAAATGTCTACAAAAATCAAGAAAAAGAAGATATTAGAGTTGGCAACACCGTGCACTTTATTCCCCCGTTTGATCACGTTCACCGAGTTTCGGGAATACGGCCAAACCACTTCGAGAGAAACGCTGTAGGATGTGATCGTTCACCTCTCCTATAGGAACGCTCACATCGTCCAAGCTCGAGAATCGACGCACAGAGACAATCCAGCCCTACACCCACAGAATAGGGTTTCCGATCTCGATACGATCTTATCGAGAATCGATCTTTTGTTTCACGATATCGATTTTTCAAAATAGAGATCGATCTATATATCGATGGACAGTACTGAGATCGGAGATCGATTCTAGCCCACATCTTACATGTATTTTTCGAGTATTTTGTGGTTACCATAAACGTCAAAAGAATAAATTCACTGATCGTTATCACCGTTTTGAGTAATGTGAGAGTGTTTTGTGGATATTTGAGTATTCTCGTAAAGCGGAAATGTTACCTGAATGAACCTCTTTCGAATCTGAAGACAACAGATCCTATTAAATATTGGCATGGATAGTCAAATTCTTTTCAACAATTTAAACAAAGTTGCTCAAAAGTCTTTATGTGTGTTAGGAACATCAATTCCATCCGAGAGACTATTTTTTCGAACAGGAAATCTGATGACTCCTGATAGAAAAAGTGGCAAAATGTCAAACTCGTATTTTTGAATAGTTTTAAATCTTAGAATTTGAATATTAACAAGTTTAAGTTCCAAACAATGTTTATATTTAAAATAAAGATTACATTTTTTGTCTATTTTTTATTAATTAAATTTAATTTTATATTTTACATAAAAAGAATCGATCTTCGATCTTTACGAGATCGATATTTTTTCCTCCCGATTTTTCTTGTATCGATCTTTGGCTCCACCATTTGGATCGATACTAAGAATCGATCTTTCTTGCCGAGATCGGAAACCCTACCACAGAACAGAATAATAGAGGACTTCTCATGGAGGAAGGGGGACTTCTATACAAGGGAAGTGCAACCAACTTGACAACATTTTTTTGACACTATAATGACATAAGAAATCGGGTCACATAAAGAGGCTGTTTTTTTGTTAAATTTTTAGTTTTTCTTATCTACTTTTATGCCGTTTAGATACCATGTTGTACCCGTAACGTAAAAAAGACTTTTTATTTTAGGGTATTTTACATTTAAATGTTGAAAACAGTTGTTAATATCAGCTGTCGATAATGTCAAAACATAAGCGTAGCATTGCATTTTTTGTTGTTTAAAGTCTATTTGTGCGTCTCCCGCTTTCTTAAAACATTTTTTTTCATTTGGTTTTATTTATTTATGTCGATTGCAAAATGTTGCTGCTACGAATAGAAGTTCTATACAATATACAACCAACATACAATACTAGTTACGTTATGCCCATCTATAGTTCCGCCTGTGTTCTACCATCACCATAATTGACAGCTAACAATGACAAAATGTTTCAACCTTTAAATGTAAAATACCCTAAACTAAAAAGTCTTTTTCACGTTACGGGTACAACAAGGTATGCAAATGGCATGAAAGTAGATAGGAAAAACCAAAAATAAACTAAAAAACAGCCTCTTTATGTGACCCGATTTCTTGTCATTAGTGTCAATTTTATTTTGTCAAGTTGGTTGCACTTCCCTTGTATAGAAGTCCTCTATTCAGGTTTCAGGTACGTTTTTTTGAATCTAGTATCTTTTCATTAAAATTTTAGCACGTTTCTATTGACAGCACTGGGAACTGGCAACACTGTCCGAAGTCCGAACTTAACGGATCTTGATGCGATATTTTCAAACAGAATTTAAATATTATTAAATTATTATCATCATCAAGGAATGAAACTTTTGGATTTAGCTAGAACTCTTAATTGTACGGAATTAATTGTTGTTCAAAATGAATTAAAAGAAACATGCAGGAAGCAACAATTCAAGTATGTATTAATAATAGATTTTGAGGCCACTTGTTGGGAGAGAAATGATAATAATAGAGGATATACAGAAATCATCGAATTCCCTTGTGTTTTATATAATGTAGAAGAAGCTTCTATAGTTACATACTTTCATCAATACGTTATGCCGACAGAATATCCAAAATTAAGCAGGTTTTGCAACAACTTAACTGGTATTACTCAACATCAAGTTGACAATGGAGTTCCGATAAAAACCTGCATGATGTTATTTAAGAGTTGGTTAGAAAGTATCAAAAGTAAATACGGAATTTCCTTTGAAACCACAGCTCCAATAAGTAATAGATGCATATTTGCTACTTGGTCTGATTGGGATTTAGGAAACTGTCTTAAAAATGAATGTAGGCGTAAACAAATAAACCTACCAGAAATATTTAGCAGATGGCTAGATGTTAGAGCTCTTTATAGAATGCATTATATGAGAAAACCAAAAGGGCTACTTGGTGCTTTATTTGAAGTCGGCCTTGAATTTGAAGGAAGAGAACATTGTGGTTTACATGATGCAAATAATACAGCAAAATTATTAGGAAGAATGGTAGCTGAAGGAGTTGTTCTGAAGTGCACAAATGATCATCAAAATAAGTAATTTGACTTGAAATTATTGTTTTGGTAAACATATTTCTTTATATTAGTAGATATACAAGCAAAAGATAATGTATAAAGAGCAAATTAAAAGTTTACAAAAGAGTTTGAATGACAAAAAAGTCTGATTTTTAAACAGTCAATGTTTTTTACTATTAGACCAAGAAATTTACCTGACTTAATTTTTCTAAGTTTTTTGACCTATGCCAGTAATAATTATTCCATACTCTCTCATAATTATTTGACATCTACTTGGATGACACTTTCAATGTTTGCATTTCGATTATTGTAAACAAAATTAGTCTAGTAGTTGTTCATCATTGGATGTAATGCAGCACCACAAAATAAATTGATAGGGTAGCTTGTTCAGTAGGAACTTATAGAGACCAACTTGTATTTTATTTTAGACTAGTTCAATTTACAATTTTAGTAATAAAATGTAAAAATACCAAATACATTTTTGTTCTATTCACAAATTATTTCATATTTTATAGACAAATAAATACAAGGTCTTTAAATAGTAAAAACAAATATTACCTATGTGACTTTAGTTTAATTTCTAATTCTAGTCATTAAATAACTAATAATTAATATTATTTCTCTATCCTTTTTCTGATTTTTTGATTTTTCTTATTAAGAACTTGACCTTTATCAGTTTTATCAGCTTGAGAAGAACCAGCCAAGAAATTTGATACCATATCAGACATTTCAAATTTGGCCATATTTTGAATTTGCTCCATTTCTTTTTTTGTTTCTGGATCATTCATCATTTTTGGCAAGACCATAATCAAAAGTAGTGGCAATACCATCATCATGACCATGGGATTAAAAAGCAGATCTGTTATCCTCCATTGTTCTCTTAGTTGGAAATAACGAGTTTTTCCTTAAAAAAAATACATATAATGTAATATAATAAAACTGATGAAAACAATTCCAAAGTTGTCACATAATTTTTGATATAATTAAAATGTATTTGATTTTATACCCAATGCTTTCATCCTCAAAGGGTATGGTACAACCATGACTTCTGAAGTTTTAATATGATTTACTTTTCTAGCTCTGAATTTTCCTTTGGAATTGATTTCCACTCTAGCTGGCTCGAAAGCAAATTCTGGATGTAGTACTTCAACAATATAAGATCCAGCAGGTACATTTTGTATTGTGAAAGAGCCATCTTTTCTTACAAACCCTAAATACTCTCCACCGTTCACATGAATTCTTGCGTTAGCTTGCCAATTAAATTGTTTTTGTTGGGAATCTGATAGCGGAAAAACCCTTCCTTCTAATACATATTGAGCTGATGTATCATTTTCTTCGTCGATTATATCTGCTTTAATGAAATTGATACTAAAGAAAGAAAACACAAAAGTTGTGTAAACTAACAATAAATTCATTTTTTCTTTTAGTTCTTATATATATAATTATGATTTAAGTAGTAAAACTATTATAGGTTAGTTTTAGATCATTACTTTTTATGTCATATGTCAAAAACGTCAAGTGACAAGTGATGTAAAAAAAATAAAAATAAAAAAATAGATGTTGCCAAGTTATCAACGAAATGAAGTGAGTGCATAGAGTGAGTGATAAAAACTGGTGATAAATATGTTTTCGCCAAGTAAAATCACCGACCTTGATATTAAACTGGATGGCTAAACTCTAGTCCTAAGATTCTTTCGTTCGTCCCACTGGTGTAGGAATGAACTGCACCAATTCACACCATACCTTTCGTTTGGCTCGATTTAAAATCCACTACAACTTCCTGTCGGCGATGTGGGACACTAGTGGATATTTTCTCCACCAGCTATTTAGCCGGAGTGAATTACAGTCGACATGTGTATCAGCAGGAAGAAGTAAACTAGGGATGAGATTACAGAACGTCTGCAGATCTGCAAATATGGCGGCAACTTTGCAGATCTGCAAATATGGTGGACTTACAGATGCAAGTATTCAAAAAATATCTGCAAATTCGCAATATTTATTACCCCTAACAACACTAAATCCAAATCCACCCTTAAGAAGGTTAGAATAACATCCTACAACCATGCATGAAGTCTTCTGTTTCTTTTGATTGAATACAGTTCATGGTGTCAGATTATCGAGTTTTTAAATATTAGGTAAATAAAGGTGGTGTAATTTACACTGGTGGACACTGCACCAACAACGAACGAAAGAATCTAATTTCTAAACCGACATGGGTGAAAAAACGGTCGGTACGCATGACAATTTGGACGCCAGACTATTTCGAGCATTCTACGTCACGTTTACCACGGGCGTACTACGATAAGTTATTTTATTTTTCATTAATAATGCGCTATTTTAATAATTATTATTTGCCGCGTTTGAGAATCCACATCGGATGCATTTTTTACATCTCGAGCGTTTTTTTATCCACATCGGACACATCTGTCCCATTACATTTACGTATACTGAATCACGTGATTAAAGATTTACTACATCTCAGATGCATCCGATGTGGATTCTCAAACGCGGCAATTATTGGAACATTTTTTTTCAGCTGCGTATTAATCAAAAATCATTGTTAAGTGATTTTCTTAAATTAAAAGGTGTCTTAAGTTGAATGTAATAAGTGTTAAATTTAATTTTGATGATCCTTTTTAGTGCATTTAGATACGCACGTGTGGGCGCCAGAGTGTCAAATATCACCTCGCTATGTGGCTTTGATTTTGTTCTTCCAGTTTAATAAGTAAAAGACCAGAATATTGACTGGATCAGAGTAATAGATATTTATGTACCAAGTCAGCAAAGTGATTCTTTATCGAACTAGTCTGAGATAAAAGTACATTTAATCTATTCTGATATTATTTTACAAACAGTAATTATATATAACAGTTATATTTATAATATAGATCGAATCAGTCATTCTTAAAACAACTTAAAAATAATTTTTAATAATTACATTTAATTATTTCTTTGGTAATGCTGGAATTTAGTTTCCAGAGTAGATGATAATTATGTCTTTCAGATACTTCTCTTATGTTTGAACATGGAGGAATGTTTGAACCGATGAGTGTGTCCAAAACACTATCGTCTGCATACAAAGGAAAAGGAGAGGACTCGCAACTACGTTTGACACAAATATTAAACGCAGACATAAAATAACTCTTCTACTGTAGCGTAACCAGAAATTAATTAAATGAACAAATAATGTATCGGCTGTAATAAACCAAACACTCTTTCTTTCTGGATAGGTACTTCAGAAAAATCTAAAATTATTTTAAGAAAATAGTCATATTAATTGTGTAACGCCACTGGCACTAAACTTTACTGGGTTATTGTGGGCCATTACAGTAATATATTTTACAATTTTAAGGTTTTAATGAATGAAAATATCTGTTTACTCTCAAATTTTGATAAATTATTCTTTAAATTATATTTCGATATTAAGTTTAATTTATTTAAAATATTAATTTAGTTTAAAAATATTTCTATTTATGCAGTTGTGTTATTTACGTCTAAATATATTTTACCTGTGAAATGTAATTTCATCTTCCTTTTTTACTTCGACCTGTACAGCCATAAGGTGAATACACTACCGTTGATTGTAGTCAATAACAACACCGTCTGATTAACTTTACGTAAAAAGCACAAAATACATAAATAACATCACGACTTCTCTGGCACCAAAAAAATGGCGGACGAACGAGTTACGCGTCTCCTCTCTTTTCCTAGTCTAAGCGAAATCCATTAAGTCCAGTTTGACTATAGTCACTTTTTATTGCTAGCTTGCATGTAGAACTAATTAATTCCAGAAGCTTCCAATAAACTGTGAATTTCTCTTATGTCGAATAAAGTTTTTTTGCATGATAAAACTATCACCAAACAATGACAAATAACAGCCGATCAGTGAGAGTATAAAACATATTGAAATGCTATTCTGTGCAAGGTGGCGAGCGTGGGTTGGTTCACATCCCTTAGGCCTTAATAGGCCCATTGTGCATCCGTCAGGAACATATATAGGACATGCCTTTCAATTTCTCAAAAACGGGCTAGTTGTCGCCTCATCTCGTCAAACTCCTGTAGGTTAATAACGTCGCCAAGAGGTGTCTCTAGATGCCCCTATTTTTGGGGCTATTAATTAACTTCCAACAGGCATTTGACTCCATCAAAAGGGGTTAGTAATAACCAATTTGGCAATATTCGCAAAACTAAGAAAACTATCAATGAATACAACAAAATGATTAGCAGTAGAACTCACAAATGGACACTAGAATTTGGTGGACTCATTATCATTGGAATACGCGTTGAGTGGTTGCAAAAGCAAATATAAAGGAAACATTATAGTTAATGTTGCAAAGAGATTTGGAAAATAATAAAAAAACAAAATAGGAACACAAAAAAAATCAGTTTTAATATCTGCAGTTAAGCAGTATCAACTACGGCTAGTACTGGACAGGATAGTCACATATCACAACTCGTAGGCGCTGTATCAATTATCACTACGCCATCTTTTGTAAATGAAATGAAAATACATTTATTGAAATAGGTAACCCTAATATACAAACAATTTTTTTTCTTTACAAAACAACAACTCAAATTCAAAATACAAAAATCAGGAAAAACTGTTAGGTCCATATAAGTTGGGCTTTATCAAAATATCTGGTTAGAGTGTAGTGTGATCACGAGCGTCGGCAACTATAATATATCGTGCCGAGCCAATAGTAATAAAATTAGTTGAGCAGGCAAAATTTTTAGGACATAAAATAAATAACTGTAACACACCTTCACTGCTTTGGGGTATCCATTATCTTATAATTAACATATTAACACAATAATTTGTAAGTAGTGCATTTACTAACAATGTTACTAACAAAGAAAAAAGTAAAAGTATATTAAAACAGTAATTTATTTCTAATAAGAATGTATACCATTTATCAACAAAGTATTTATTTTTTACATTTACGAGAATTTAGAGATAATAAACTCCATTCAAGTTCACTGTTTTGCTGTAACACACCTTCACTGCTTTGGGGTATCCATTATCTTATAATTAACATATTAACACAATAATTTGTAAGTAGTGCATTTACTAACAATGTTACTAACAAAGAAAAAAGTAAAAGTATATTAAAACAGTAATTTATTTCTAATAAGAATGTATACCATTTATCAACAAAGTATTTATTTTTTACATTTACGAGAATTTAGAGATATGAAATAAACTATAAACAATGCATGCATTAAAAAATGTTTGGTTCAAACTTACAGTATTAACAATTATTTTAATTTTATAAGCAAGTCGATTAAATATGAATTTAAAGAAGCATATAATAATTTAATTAAAATAGATAAATAACAGGCCTAAAACTATCAGTACAGAATAACTAGTTTAGACAGAAGTGGTATGCAACAAACAGTACGAATAATTATCCTATTGAAAGACATTTAAAAAATGATTAGCTGAGGAATATAGTAGCTATTTATGTAACCAGTTACGAAATGCATTATTTTGTGTAACGAGAGAATATGAACAGTATTTCACAACGTGTTACAAGAGTTTGCTTGATATTGGCTAGATTATTTATAAAATTGTGTTTGGTAAGAAATAACTAACCATTCATTTCTTGTACTACCAATCAAATATTTTTGAAAATGAATATTTGGAATAGCTATTATTTCTTCTCAAGGCTTGTTAATTTTCAAAAAAGTGGGTTATTTTGCAAACATGAATATAGATATTTTTAGTTTTTCTCCATGCGTCATGTATTTCGATCATTTTTGAGCATGTGTAGGATGGATCAAGACAGATTAAAATAGCGACTGAACCAACGCCATGGCCCCCCGAGATCAAAATTCTTACGATTTATGAGCCTTTTATTATTAAAAAAAAAAATATGCTAAAAAGGGAATATCTAAAGGCAATGGCCCCCCCGAAAATTCGTCTTGGAGCCGCCCTTGATATCCTTCCTTCATTCCTCTGATATAAACTTTCCAAAGCAATATATTCAGTTTAAAACCAAAAAGGGTTATTTTTTTGGTTTTAATTTGACAACTGATGACATAATTTCATTACATAATGTTCAACAATACTTGCTGCGATTACAAAAGATGTCACTTTATATATCAAAATTAGAATAGCTATTTTAAATTATTTTTGTCCCCATACATTTTTAATGACTACTATGTTGTTTACAAAAATAATTTTTTTTAGTTTTCTTTTGGAAATATAAACATATGCATCTGTAAGTAAAATATCATGATCATGTCAAAAAATAATAAAAATAGCCATCCCTCCCCCGCTCAATATCTGCTTTTATGTTCACTCATAAGGGGATGAATTGTAGGGAGGCTATTATTAATAGGAAAAATCTGTAAGGGTCTAATCAAATGCAGTATGCTAATATACCATTATTTTCCTCTGCACATCATATACTTTTCATTATCAATCATAAAATAATATCACGCATTTTAAAATATAGTTTCATATTAAATTACTTACATTGTAAAAAAAAGTGTTTAAAAATATTGTTTTATAATAAAAAAATAGATTAGTTTAAATTTGACTAAATTATGATACAGTTTATGTAAGTATATATATTTAAATGTTACATAGCAATGATATACCTATAGTTTAATTACTTATAATATTTAAAGTTATTTATATCCCAATATTTATAAATATAAGTGAATTAAAATTTAAGGATGCTAAAACTAAACTATAAAATAATTGAGCTTATTTATAAACAATAAAGACAGTGGCCTTAGTGAGAAATAGGCCAAATAATAGATATAAAAAAAAAAGATTTATAAACAAAGTAATTTTATAAGATAAGAATAATAATTACGAGCCCTAACCACTATATGTTCGGCCTTTTTATAACTTAATTTCCGTTATAATATATTAGGAAACTTAAGGTTGAAGAACATCTATTTTTTAAAAATTACTTAAATTTAATAGTTGTTGATGTTTCTACTATTTGTGAGAGCATGACGCACCATGATCTTAATTTTTTTAAAAAACTATCTAATCGAAAGATAAATGACCATTTAAATGTTCAAACAATATCCTCCGCAATTATTAAATTTAATGTATGGGATGCTTTGGAATTTTTGACGTGTTTGACACACATAATGAAACACTAACTTATTTTGTGATTTGAAGTTTTAAGTTGTTGAAAGTATGATGATATCTTTGTGACAGTTTCTAACGTAATTTTTTTATTCGATTTGATCATAAACAAATATAAACATAAAAATAAGTTTCGTAATAAATATCTGAAATAAAATTATGAAAAGGTCGAACATATAGTGGTTAGAGCTTGTATTTATGTAATAAATAAATTTGGTCAAGCAACTGAGTATTGGTAATTTAAATAATTTTGGTATACTTAATAATATAATTAATATTAATAATAATTAAAAGGTAAGTTCAAAATTATAATGTAAATTTAAATATAGTTTACATTATATAAACCAACTTTTTATACATTTATTTTAAGTTACTATATTTAAAAATTTAACAACTATTCAAGAAAATAAATAATGGACAACATAGAGTAGTAAAAATGACAACAACCATAAGAGACATCAAAGACAATATTTTTTTATATCTTTTCGTTTGCATACAAATCAATTTCAATTAAAATCTACTGCGTTCTACCTGACAATAGGGTTCCTCTGATTTCTATTACGGAAAGTATTTCTATAGCACCTCAAGGAGCAGAAAAGTGTATCTACAGGTACATACATTTTTTCTCCAGAAGATGTACTAACACTCTCTGCAATGGCACTCAGCATTAAATTATGGGTACTTTGTACATATATGTCAAAAACAGCTTTACCACAAACACAAAAATTTGCACCATCTAAATAACTAATGACAGTTATTGGAAGTGATCCTGGAGGATAGGGTAATCTTGCTCCTAAAACTTTTCTTGCTGCATATTCTTTTAAAGTGCACACTTGTAACACACCTGCAGATGGGGCAGGTCTGTTATCATATTGATGAAAATTATTTTGGGAAACATCTAGTGAAAGCAGACACATGCCCTTCATACTTCCAGGAAGTGTATACAATCCATTATTTGATGCAGAGAACACCCTCAAATTTGGAAGTTTCCCTATAATATTAATATTTTAGAGACAAATAATGTGTAAAAGAAGTTTTAGACTATCAATGCTGATTTAATGTAACATTAAATTTATTTCAATTATTTTTTTGGTTTTATTAATTATTTTTTAAAGTAAATAAAAATTGTTACATCAGTAAGTTGTTCTTTAATTTTTATTTTTAGATAGAAGTATCATTAGTAAGTGTTAATGTAGATATTAAATAAAAAAATGGATGGATAATAAAATTATCTTAATTTTAAATTAACCTGTATCTTAATATACACCCAATTAGTTACAATATGTAGTAAATTAATTAAAAATATTTATACAAAAAATAAAACTAAGGTATGTTCACATCTGACATTTATTGCATGAAATTTATGCCTGACAGTTGTTTAGTCCAGTGTAAACACTCAAAAATATATGTCTGAGAGAAATTTTTGTGTGTTTACACTGGACTAAGCAATTGTCAGACATAAATATCATGCAATAAATGTCATACGTAAACGTACCTTTAAACTACTCAATTTATACAATCTAATGTAATTTTAACCCTTTTACTACAGGAACAGACTTTTTGAAAATGTAGAGTACTGTCATTGCTGGAAACAACTATATTCCTACTCATTGTTTAGCGGTTTGTTGTGGCAAACGTTTATTTTATATATCATGTAAAAAATAAGAGATTTCCACAGCTAACACTCAAACAAGGAGTTCGAATAAAGTCTTTTCCCACAATGACTATTCATTTTTAAAAATAATACGTAAAATAATAATAATAAGTTACCTATTCCAGGTGTAACAGTTTGCAAAAGATTATAGTTGAAATTTAATGATCTGAGCTGTGGTAATCTTATTATTTCTCTAGGAATAAACTCTATTTCATTGTAACTTAAATCCAATGTATGTAGGGTGTTTGTGAGATTTCCACCAATCCAATCCCATGATTTTCCTTTTCCAATTAAATTATGTGATAGGTACAGCTCTCCAAGATTTGGTAAAGTATTTAACTCACATGGTATTTTTTCTATTAAATTGTAACTTAAATCCAAGATTTTCAGTCTCGTTAAGTTAAATATACCCTTATCTATGGTACATCTGTCTATTTTGTTTATATATAGTTGTTCCAAGGTTTTTGGAAACCCCTTACTGGGATAATCTGATCTTTTTGATATTGTTAAACTTACCACTGGCATATCTTTGGGCTTAACAGCCGTTACAGATAAACTAGAAGTAGTTAATTCTTTGTCTGAAACCTTATTTTCTATAACTCGTTTGAAAAGATGAATAAAGGCTTTTAATGGAATGGGATCACTATTGATATATAAATCATGTTCTGGAATTTTAAATTGAACTGTACATTTTCCATCGTTAGCAAATTTCGTTAGTAGCTGCTTAATATTATTCTTTATGGAATATTTTGTTCCATTTTGATTTTTATTTGTGAACAAAATTATGGAATACTCCCCAGACTTTGGATGTTTACAAAGTGCTAAAGTGGATTTCACATGTTTTCTTCCTTTATGAGCTAATGTATTGGGTAATAAACGATGTCCAACAAAAGTATTACAAACGATTTTCATTATAACAAACTACCAAACCCGGTGTAAGCGACATTTCAAAATTATTTCCTCTTTCGATTGATTAGTTTTCAAAAATTGACGTTAATATGTCAACTTAAACTTCTGGTTAAACGATTATTGATTTAACGCATATGTTTTCTGCTATGTTGCCAAATTTACAAATTAAAACTCGTTTTACACATGGAATGACCAAACGAACCATTCAAAAGGCAAACCTCAACTCTTTGTTTAAGCTGCTGGAAGCACTCTGTGGCTGGAACACGGAAACGAACGTTACTTTGGTTTTTATTTGTTTATTTACTTCTATGTCTCTGCCATAAATAAATTAATATTAATTTATCTATGGTCTGTTTGGGTTTGGAATTTGGAAGACACAGTATTTTTCTATGGTATGGACACAGTTGGAAGAACATGACCTGTTCCTGTTATATCTTATTTTCACATTATTAAAAATTGTGTTAATGAAATAATTTAATCAATGGTCATGGTCTATCCACGTCACTGGTCATAGTCTGATCATAGTGATAATGATAATTTTATATTTATTTCTATAAATATTAATTTGGTTTACAATTCAATTTAATTAATAAAAACACGTCGAAGTTATCTGCAACGTTTCTGTTTCTATTTTACGTTTGATATACGATGAATACTGTACTTAAAACCGTTATACTTGGGGCTCCTGGATCGGGAAAAGGTACAATTTCAAGTCGAATTATTAAAGCTTTCAATATGGATTATATTTCTAGTGGTGACAGATTAAGACAACATATTAAAGAAAAAACTCGTAAGTATCTCCCTATTTTAAATGGCCAATTGTTTTTGTTCACAGTTCAGATAATATTTAATCAGGTGCAGGCCCGGTCTCAGGCGATTTATAATTAATAAGATTACCACAATAGTTATTTTAGTTAGGTATGTACCTATTGTGTTATTATATTTCAATACAGGTACTTGACTCAATAAAATACTAGCTAGCTTATTATATATCCACAGTATCCACTCAATTTTAATTTTTCCAGCCCTGATTTTTAAAAAATTTCAAATGTTTGTTCGTAACTTGTTTTGTAATCGTTTTATTTAAATTCAAATATTGTTTTTGGTTCCTCCAACCTTAAGTAGGCACTTCTAGTTTGGTTTGGTTTTTTAACCCTTAAAGTAAAATATAATTCTCTTGGACATAATTTTGTATATATATTCTGTGACTTTTTAACTTTATATATTAAAATTACCTAGCGTATCCATAATGGATATGCCATGGCAAGTCAAATTATTATTAACCTCCCTTTTTGTTCTTTGTTTTAAAACATTTTTTTGTTCATTTTTCATTTTTGTATTAAATAATTTTGACTTTTCAATAGGTACATAGACTACATGACTTTCCATTTAGGTGTGCCTATCATGAAGTAATCCCTTCAAAATCAGTTGTCAATAAATTGACTTTGTGAGAAATAAAGGACCTTTCCTAACACCTTCATACTCAATCTTAACCACTTACATATGGCTACCCTCACCCCAAATATAATATAATAATATAATAAAATAATACATTTTTAATAACCTTCGTATTCTTTTCACACTTTTTATTTGCTGTTTAAAAAATTTATTGTTTTATTAATCTCATTCTGTTCAGACATACCTAGGCACGATATACCCACCTAAAGATAGGATGTTGTGCATCATGTGTGATCATTATTTTTATGTACAAATGAAAATCACTCTGTGAGTGACATCATAACATCAGCCCATAGGATGTTGCCCATCGTGGGCAGTCTTTATTTTGATGTGCAAATGAAAATCACTATCACTCTGTGAGTGACGTCATGTGGGTGGCAGTTGAAAACTGAACATGGGAGCATCCGGCCCTGATACCTAGGTATGTAAAAGGATTGATATAAAATTTGAATTAAGTAGAAAAAGAATGGTATTATATTATTACTGGTCATTGAATAATATACTGTTTTATAATAGAGGTACAGTTCCATTATTACAAATGGTATTACCACAGAAGAGAGAACAATACAGAAAAGAAACATAGTGCTAGTTCCACCACAGAAATACTCTGTGAAAATGTAACACCACAGAGCTAGGTGTACTGTGAATAGCTACGTTTTCTCAGAGTAACTCTGTAGTGGAACTAGTCCTATGTTTATTTTCTGTATTATTCTCTCTTCTGTGGTATTACTTAGTCAAAACCAATATAAATTATTGTTCAGTGTAATATCTAATTTTCAAATTTTGTTAATAATGTCTGAAAAATAGATTATTTGACTAGATTATTATATTATCAATATAAAATAATAAAATATTTAAAACTAGTATTTTAAATTATTATTCAGTGTAATATCTACATTTTCAAAATGTTTTTATTATGTCTGATTAATGAAAGGAGTATTAAGTTCATATGATGCAATGTTTACCTTGTCAGCAGAATTAAGAATGTTCTCAACAATAGTTAAAAAGGAGGGGGTGGCGCCGGTGGCAGGGATTTTTATTTAATGTAATAAATTAAATTCTAATGCATAGGTAGGATTCCCCACTTGACCATTCACTGTTGGGCCCTAATTAACAGTGCTGCTCTTAAAGTGGTGCTGGTAAACAGTAACAAAGCCTACACAGAACAGAGGCTAATAACCTTGATAGTTGATGCGAATGACACTGAATTAAAAAAATAGTTAAAACGAATTGCTTTTTTTCTTTGACTGTGCAAGATTAGCATTTTGATGCTAGGAGCTTGGTGTTGAAAGTCATTGAAAGCGAAGAAAGCGAAACTTAAACAGTGTCCCTTTAGGAATGAGTGACACTGTTAGGTCTCCTCTCTTTACCACCCACATTAATATAGTCTTAAGATAAATGTATTATGCATATGATACAGTTCTGTTGTTAAAGATATTACTTAGGAAAGAGTGGTAAGGTTTTTAAAGGATTAAACAGAGTAAAATATTGGCTTGATTAAAATAAATTAATTTAAAATTCTGATACTTTGTAAATTGCTTGACTTGTGCTGAAATAAATTTATATATCATTTACACCATTGTAAAAGTGGCAAAACAAATATTCCTCTATTGTTTTACTTTTAGCCATTGGCCTAGAAGCATCTAAGTATATTAAAGATGGAAAACTAGTACCTGATGATCTTATGATTAAATTTATTAGTGAAGAACTTAAAAAAGTGAAATCTAAACCATGGCTCTTAGATGGTAAGTGTTATAATAAATATAATAAACATAAACCGACTATTTGCTCCGTGGGTGACAGTGGATCCAACTATTGCATAAACTAAAGGGCGATATTTGCCTATATTGGCAGTATCATTTTTAATAAAATTCATTATTAAAAAATATATTTTTTTGGTTTTAATAAGAGTATATGGAGAATTGAAAAGATTCTCATTTATTATTATATACTTTTATTACTTCAGTTAAAATAAATTAAGTATAAACAATAAAAAAATAATTAAAATATAGACACATAATAGGTAATTAGGCAACAGTATTTACGAGAAAGTGTATGAAAATTTGCCTAATGAGTTGTCCGGAAAAATAAGTTAATGTCAAACGTGGAATCAAAATTTATTAACAAAAAATAATACCAATCAAAGGCAGAAATCTAGTGCTTGCTGGACATATAATTGATGTTGAAGAACACAGCATAATAATAATTGTTAATTGTTTTTAAAATCTTTTAATTTTCTTATGTCTACTATTTCCAGTTACATCATTTATTTCTTTGATTTAATTTTAATTTTGATAAAATAATTATTGCTTAATCCACATGACGACGAAAAAACAAATTCTTCTCTTTATGAAGATAACAGCTGAATAATTTTAACGGATGATTAAGGATGCAAAATGAAGCATATTTATGGTTGTTCCTAAAATCAACTGTTTTTTATTAACATTTTCTAAATGAAATTATTGTAACGATAGTTTAATTTATTTAGAGTTTATTTATTTAAAACACACTATTTACAATTTATTTGTGACTACTAATTAATTTATATAATACTTAGACACTAACTCACAATTCTAATTTATTTATTCCAATTTAACTTTTCAGTCCAATACTTTATACTAAACTAACTCGTCCGCCGATAAGTCGTGCTATTTATACCAAGTCCAACTCTGCTACGAGAAGTCTCCAGACGATGATGGAATGTCCCAGAATTCCATCTCTATGAGTCAACGTCACGTACCGCTTGTTCTGGTATATTCGAGACTGTCCCCACACGTCAGCGGTGCTTCGATCATGAATCGGTGACATGTTGAAGGTTGCTTACTCCGCGTCACATTATGCTTAATGTACAATATTTCACAGATACACTACTGGGATCTCGTAAAGTAGACAGTAGAAGAGATAGAGAGATGTGGTCAAAAAGTTGCATAAAGGATTTTTTTTACATGAGAATAATTAACTGTCATCGGTTTTTTACTAAAAGGTTTCGACACGTCAAGGACATCATCAATATTATTTTTTTAATTACGGACCTGGATATATATTTTACGAAATCGTATTTAATTGATATTATGAATACAGCGCCGTATATAAACAAATGATTTGTATTTGTTTGACTTTATTTGACAGATATTTTATTATTCTATAGTTATCATTATCAAGCACATATCCAGTAGTACCATAAGTAGTACATGGCTCTATGCTATGGCCTGTACCAGCCATTGCTGAATCCAATCGAAAACTAAAATGAAGATATATAATATTTATATCGTTTTTTGTTTTTGAGTTAGGATTTTTTAAATATATATATTTTTTAGAATCAATAGGCTTCATCTCCTTATAGAGCTTAATTTTTGCTAAAAATTTCATGTTGATATCACTTTTTGTTTTTGATTTATGATTTTTTTTATTAATTTCAACCCTCCTTAAACCCCCCAGTTTTGATCAGATTTTTTTCAAAATCAAAGGGCTTCTTATAGCTGTTGATTTATGTTAAACATTTCAAGTTGATATTATTTTTCGTTTTTGAGTTAGGATTTTTTTTTAATATTTCAATTCCCCTTAACGCCTCCATTTTTGTTCAGATTTTTTTTTAAATCAATAGGCTTTGTCCCCTTATAGAGCTTTATTTTTCATGAAATTTTCAAGTTGATATCATTTTTCGTTTTTGACTTATCGGGCGGACAAAAAAACGTGACATCGGAGGCATGGACAAAGTAAACCTATAATACTCTTCACATACTACTGTGTGAAGAGTATAATATGTAATACGATAGAAAAATTCATTTATTGTAAACAATGTACTTTAATGAATTAATTTTTTTATCAGTTTTATTTTCGTTTATTTTCAGTAATGGTTGGAACTGTCCATAGAGTCCAAATATATCTTTATAAACAGGTCAGAACTTGAAAATTATTTGATGATTGTCTAACAAATATACAAAACGTCTTGAATATTTGTTTAATATATTATAAATTATTGAATAAAATTTAAAAAATCCCCTATAATTTTATAACTGGTAAAACTACAGCTAGAAAACGAAAAATGCAATTTTTCATTTATTTGAAATATTTCAGATGAAGTTCTGGATGTAAAACATTAGTGAATGTTTAATATTTTAAATTTGCGAATAAATGTTTCACATAGGCGGATAAACAATGATGCCAAGCTATGCTATACTTCTCGTACTTTAGAAACGTTTGTGATCTTAACTTTAGAGTTTAACTAAGCCCAATTGCTTCATATTTCATTTCAAAAATCACCTGTTGAAATTATGCAGGTGTTAGATGTATTATATTAGTACAGAAATAATTTGTTCTTTTGTGATACATACATTCCGAGTATGGCATTATTCAAAATTCAATTTTAAAATTTTTGTGTACACATATTTTTTGCATAATTTTCTGTGTATTTTTAAAGGATTTCCGAGAACACTTTTTCAAGCACAAGCATTTTGGAAGGAAGAAAAATTAGATTTAGCTGTCAATTTAGTAGTGCCTTTTAGTGTAATCATGGAAAGAGTTGAAGGTAGAATGGTTCATTTACAAAGTGGAAGAGTTTATAATTCCTCATTCAATATACCCAAAGTTCCTGTTAGTACATGTATATTTTTTTTTTGAATCCAGTAGACTCAATTAATTTTTTTATATATATTTCAGGGAGTTGATGATGTTACTGGAGAACCATTAATTAAAAGAGAGGACGATAAGCCAGAAGTTGTGAAAAAACGTTTGGAAGTATATGACAAAATGACAAGACCTGTTATAGAATTTTATAGGGAAAAGGGAATTTTAAAAGATTTTCATGGAGAAACTTCAGATGCTATATCACCTCAAGTTTTGAAGGAATTGAGTAATTATATGAGGCTTGAAGGCAGTCAATAAGGATTATTATTTTTGTATCCTTAATTTTAGTTTTTTTTACTTTTGAATAATTTTTAAATGTATTTACAGTACGACGTTAAAATTTATATTTTAGTACCAAATATACATATATTTTTTCAATTTTGTTATTTAGTTAAAATAGTTGAAAATATTAAAAATTCATATTTTCACGAATAAATAAAATACACGAGTATTTTTGTTTTTTTTTTTGTGTACAGAAGAGAATAATACGTGGTTTTATTTATGATGTATGTTAGTTACATGATGGTTTTAGGTTTCCTCGCAGATCTCTGTGGTTTTCCTGTGGGTTTTGAATAACTTTAGGTTACATTCAAACAAAGTTGATTTATAATAAAAAGCAATTACCTACTGCTGATTTATAATTTTATAAACGTAATGGTCATGAAATGACGACTTGTTCTAAGCAAAGAGCTGTGGCACAGCGCAAAATATGTCGAAAAATATTCCTTTTTTATTTTAGTTCAATAAATATTACAATTGTCGGGTCGAATTGGTAAACGATGCTGGTATAAATTATTTATCTTGTAATTTGATCCCGACAAAAAAAATCTCGTCTTGTACCATATTCCGTCTGAGCCACATGGCACATCTCACAACGGCCCGCCGCTAGCATAGCAATATATTGAAAACGGTTACGTAACACATGCAGAAAGTACGTGTTTAATACGTTTAAATGGGGCCACCTAATCGAGTGACTTGAAGAGTATTTCAGTCGCATGTTGAAGTGCATAAATGCATCGGCGGGCTGGTTTAAATAAGCTGAATGTTTTATTAGATTAATAATATAAATATAGTTACTCTTTACAAATCGTCCGAGGCAGAATGAATATAATAATAATTATCTCCCTTATTCACCCCTGTAGTCGACTGAGCGACTTGTGTAGGGGAAGGGACGGCTATTTTTATTATTTGCCGTGGCGCTCCGGGGCGACTTAAAGATGATTAATAGTGCCATTCGACTTACAGGTGAGGAAAACCTCACCCACCATCATCGAAACGGTAACGCATGGTGATTTTTATTATTTGCATGTCATATCAACAGAAATCAGAAATTGAATTTCTATTAATACGGCACACATCAAATCTTATAACGAACCATGCCATTAATTATAAATTCACATGGTCTGATGTAGGATCCGAAGCCACAAACTTGCCTATAAATGAATATAAGCGCGTGAGACCGCTACGCCACCGACCCAATAAAATAAACAAACCTTTTTCTTCACACTCGGTTGAGGACAAAATTAAAATCAAAGTAGTTGGAAGGACCTCTCCGGGCCTCTCTTCCTGATTTAGAAATCACAAAAACACAATAGTAGGCTTCCACCTCTAGTTCGTCAAGCTTCAAGGGCCGTATAAGGAAGTTTAATAGTAATATGTATTTAAAAAATAACTGGATTTGTGGATGTGTACAAAAAATGCATTTGTTTTGGGCGTGTTTTGTTTGGGGGCGTTCAACTCGCAAGGAATTCTCATTGCCTCTTCGTAGGAAGTGAGTACCATTCCTTGCTCGTTAAATATTGTAACGTTTAATTTAAGAACAGTTTTTCTATAATTTATATATAACGTACTTATTAATTTATTTAAAACTTAGGCACTATTACAACTCACAATTCTAATTTATTTATTATACTTTATCTTTTCTATGCGACACTTAAATTAAAACTTAACTTCTATCGACAAACTCGCTCTATTTATATAAAGCCAGCTCTGCACTAGCACATTCTCGACGGTCTAGAACGTCCGGGAACTCCTTCTCTATGACTCGGCCACCGCACAGCGATCTGTCCGGTAACTTCTCGAAGGAATGCGTTTGTCTTTATATGACCAGCGCCAGACTTCATTTTACAGGTAAGGTAGTAAACAAAGATCAGAGAAGGCTTCGCGCGTCTTATTCATTTGCTCTACCATTCCATTCGACCGTAGTTCTGGTTTTCTTCATACCTAGTATGTCACAGATTCCTCAAAAAAGCTGGTTTTCAAAATGTTTGCCTTGGTCACTGTGGATCTCCAAGGACACTCCAAATCTACTGATGAATTCTTTTATTAACACGTCTGTAACAGTTGCGGCCGCTTGATTTGGAATGGCGTAGATAAATAATCCATAACCACCATCCTGTATTTATTATTACCATACTGCTTCATGGGGGCCTTCCTCTTTCGTTGAGGTCCATTAATCATAGCACATGTGGTACATTTCTTACACCAGTCCTTTACATCATCGGAACTGTTCATCCAATAAATCCTTTCACGAACTCTTTGAAGAGTTTTCTAAACACCGAGATGTCCTCCTGATGAACTGTCGTGTAACTAAGTACTTCGGCTAGCCTTTGAAATGACCATCTGTCCTCTATTTTCGGAACCATTATCATTCTCCAGTACTCGCTTTAATAAGCCTTCTTCCAGGATAAAAGAGTACCACTGAGCCAAATATGACAACTACTAGAAAGAGATTTGATACTTCTTGCCAAGTAGGTCGACGATTTACCTCTTTCCGTTGTTGCATCTTCTTTAAAACGGGAACGTTCTCTTGTTCTTCCCTAAGTTTGGCAGGGGCCCACTCATCGTTCACTACAGTTGTTCTTAGTAGTCCACTTTCTTTGGATTCTGCTCTGTTGCAGTGAGAGCACTCTGCTGGGCACAGTCTTCTAGAAAGAGAATCGTAATTTATGTGGCTTATTCTGACGATTGGGCCCTCCGGGTTTTTGAACTGCATCAACCACTTAAGGGCTGCATGATCGGTACGGATTAAGAATTTTCTTCCATAGTTTCTTGAAGCCGTGCTACAATAATAGTTTCACTTCTACCATCAACTGACACGGTACTGTCCCCATATGGATGTAGGAATACCTCTTCTGCACCAACTTTGATCACTCTATTTTTAAAATCCAACTGGAAACCGTGTAAGTTCATTACATCCATTCCAAGTATAACATCTTTTTAGATATCAGCGACAATAACAGTGTGAGTAAACTTTTCTGTACCAATTCCTAATTAAACCTGGATTCTCCATGCATGTTGGCACTTTCACATGTTTCAGTCTGCAGTCGCAATCTTGTTGGTAGAAGTCTCTTACGGTTATTTATGGTTGTTGGTCGTATAATTATCCTAGTTGTTCCAGTTTCCACCAACAGTGTATACTTTTTACCATTTACTTCGCCGTTTACGTATACATTGTCATCGCGACATTTTAAAGAGGCTATCAGTATGAGAGGGTCTTTGGAACGGTTTCGGGTCGAAGCTGTCCCCTCTAGGCCGACCCATCTCTAGTTTTCCTGCGGCGTGTTGTCTTCATGTGTTGGGACCCTAGGGCGTTTGCACGAACTGCGTATATATCCCAGTTCACCACAATTTCAGCACCTGATAGTCTTCGTCATCTTTTTGTCAGCAAAGGTCTTCATTATGTTAACTAGTTGGTCAAGTTTATCTTCCAAGTTTTTTTCTTTTAACAGTCCTCACTTTACTGTATTCTCCAGAAGCCTGCGTAGCTGCCTCATACTCTAGAGCAGCGGACAAGACCAAACAATGTTTTGTGAAGACCTGTCAATATCTACTTCATATTCTTGAATAGTCTCGTCGCATATTTAGTCTCTTTTTGAGTTGTTAAAAATCATCTGACTCTTCCACGGGTATAGTCTGAAGGATATCTAAAGCGCCTTCTCGAAGAGCGATGGCCAAATTTACTGCCTTCTCTCGTTCAAGACCATACGTTTGCTCTGGCAGCTGTTACGAACTGTTTAAGGTAGTTCGTCCATGACATCTTCCCGTCGAAAGTTGTGGCTTTAACATGAGCAGAGTTTACAGCTCCTTCCAATTTCAACTTTGACCCCACCTCATGGCACTTTATTTCACCGTCATTGGCCTGTTCTGTATGTTCCAGTTCTTCTATCTTCTCCATCTATTTTATTTTCTCCTCAACGGAAGACATTATTTTCTCTTCGACAGGAGCCATCTTATTTTCCACATCAGCAGAAATTTCATTTTTTATGGAAGATATATCAGATGAGACTTTAATTTCCATAGACATTTCGGAAAACACTCCAAGTAGTATTTTTCGTGGGCGGAACGTGGCTACCACGACTTTAGAAACTTTAAAGTGTATTGCCAAAGTTTCTGCCACGTAATAGACACGGTTCTATCACGTGGCGGTAACCAAAATGGGGAACACTTTCTTGGTGACAACCACGATCCAGCCACGTTTCCGAAACTTATATATTCACGTTTACGCCACGTGGCAATAACGTGGCGGCATGGTGGCCGACAGTAAACGCTGAACTTTGCTTACTGCCCTTGTCATTTGATTGATATTTGTAGCTCGGTCTCCGTCCTGCAAATTATTTCTCCCATTCTCCTTGCTTATTCTCTAACTTTACATAACTAGTAAACTAATAAGTAGGTACATACTGAATAATAATAATAATAATAATTTGTTATAAAAATTTTGATTTAGGAATTCTGATAGGCAAAAAGTTGGAACGATTGGAAGTTTATTGTCAAATATAGGTGTTGTAGATCGAAATTTGTCACGCGCTATTGGAATATTCTATATTTAATTAAAAAGTTAAAATCTGTAAATTTTTCATCTTCGAAATTATTTATTTAGATGTCTTAAACAGTATTTTGTATCAATCTTGGTTAATTAAAATCATTAAATATATTTGAATTTTATTGCATTGAAGCTATAGGGACGAAAAAAAATTTTTTTTAAATAGCACCCTTATATTTTCTCATAATGGCGATCTTAAAAATGGTTACAAATACGTCTGCTTCAGGAAAAAACTTTAAAGTTGCAGAAACTAAAAATATGCCACTTTGTAGTTACTTTCATCAAATAAGTGGCAGCTGGAACTAATCCAAAATATTTTTCACCACTTCAAAGTTGCGGTAGCTTCTCGAAGGAATGCGTTTGTCTCTATATGGCCGGCGCTAGACTTCATTTCGCGGGTAAGATAGTAAACAAAGAACAGAGACGGCTTCGCGCGACAATATACTATTTGCTATTTTAAATTAATTTATTATTTAATCTATTGGAATATGAATTAAGAAAATGTTTGATATTTTGATCATTATAGTATCTATTAGCACCTATATTGATGAAACATTGTATACAAAATGTAGGTGTATGGTTAAAGGCTTCAGTCTATTTTTGTCAAACGTTATTTACTCAACATATTAACCCTTCTTTTTTTTATAAAACAAATGAATTTTCAGTTTCTATCGCTATTTTGTTGTTTCTGAAAAATTGTAGCAAGGTGTAATTTATTGATTAAAACAATTATTTTATCAAAATAAGCACTTGCTTTAATCCCATTTTAATAACATAATATTTACAGAAATTTAACAATTACCTAAAAAAAATGGCTTAAAAATAATATCTTGTGAGCAATTTTAGGGGTGAAAAAAATTATAAACAAAATATAAAAGTAGCTTCCTATTTAGTCACATTTTAATCTTCACTAGTTTTATAATACCCATGAATGTGTAATTCCTGAAAAAAAAAAAAACAGTTTTCAATTTTTGTTAAGTAACAAGTTATGCATCAATATAAATAAAGCATTTGCAAATGTTTTGTACGTGAAAATGACAAAGAAAACGTTTTCGGCGGTTCGTACACGAAAACTAAACACTGGCAAATGAATGAAGGATCTTAGAATTTATTCTAGTATAAGCTAAGCTTTGTCATCTTTTCATACGATGTTGCAAGGGTAGCTTTAAGGAAAATTGAGGGAGTTGGGAGGAAAGAAGAGAATGTGTGGGTGTGGCGGCGAGAGTCTGAATCTAATGACTTCAAATCTACAAATTCGTCTGTCGTAGCTATGTGCTTCGGTAGTCCAATTGGCAGCGACGCCGAGGAGCTATACTCGGAGGTTCCAGTTCGATCCCTATCCGATGCACTAATTTTTTCTTTTATTTCTCAGCTTTTTCAAATTTTCTTTGGTTTTTGTTTCACTTTGGGGATGTGGGAATACATTTCTTAATTTCGTAGGCAGAATTGTGGAATACCTTTCTTTATTGATTTCTGTATAATTTGTCAAATATTAATTTTTCATTTGAATAAGTGATATAACTATTGATATGTACGAAGCTTATTCAAATATAATCCGGAATTTTGGCATGTTGACTCTGGAAGACCGGCGAGCGGACTTAGAGGTAGTTAGATTGATGTTTATTGATGGGACTGACATAGATTTCCTCGTTCAGTAGCTTTATGATCGAGCATGAGGTACAGAGCAATGCTAAATTATGGCACTTATCAACCCAGACAACACACCAAATCCCAGAGATATCCACAGAATATCTTTTGTCAATATCCAGAATATAGAAGATATCATAGGGATATCCAGCAAAATATCTAATGAGTATCTTCCAGACAATACAAGAAATCCCAGAGATATCCACAGAATATATTCTGTGGATATCCAACCAAATGTCCGTCTATATCCCAGGATATAGAAGAATTCGGATATTCAGCAAAATATTTTATAGGTATCTTTAGTAGAGGTTCATAAGTAACCAATGATTATTGAATAAAGTCGAAAGAAAATAGCAGAGATAACAAATATTTTCAACACTCTGCTTTTGATTTTGCCCACTAAGGAGAAAGTTATCCTTATTAGGACTCTTCAGCAATAAATGGAAATTCTAGACTCCAGTCTCTAATGGAGTCTGATTGTGAAACAAATTTCGATCGAACTCAATTACGGCGGGTTGAGCATGAGTAGATGTGAAAGTAGTATCGCTATCTATACTTAGTAAGCAAAATCAAAAATTACATCTAGTGGATATCCACGATGGTTTGCGTTCGTGCCTAGACTTTGATATATTTAGTGGATGTCCATGGGATATTGAATACACCTTAAAAAAATTAATTTTAAATATCTGAACGGTACTATTAGCCACAATGACGAGCACAATGGCGTAATTTTTTAATAATTGCTATATAATTACTGTAAAAACCGTCTTGTCTTGGTTTCAATTAAATTTTATTAAAATTAAAAGGACTGACTTTTCTTAGTTTTTTTTTATTAATCAATCTGACATAATCATCTTTTTACTGTATGTTCTTTTTTTATAAAAAAATTAAAATAACTGTAATACAATAACTTAAACATTTAAATAACTTTAACACATCTCCCCCCTTTGTGAAGACTCTCTTCACACATCTTCTATACTTCTAACTTGCATATCTTCGTCGCCGGTCTTTTAAAAACTCCATTTTTAGTCTTTACGTCTACTACTCTAACTATTTTGTCTCGTCCGGGATGTGTATTGATTATTCTGCCCATCGGCCACGTCTTCTTCGGTAAATATTCCTTTAGCCATCTTTTCCAAAATTTATCTGATAAACATTGAACCGTCTTCCATTGTTGTCTCAAATTTAGTTTTATGTCGGTATCTGGGTAATCAGGGAATTTTCCAGAGAAGGAACCAATTAAAAAGTGGTTAGGAGTTAAACATTCAGGAAACTCTGGATCTTCGGGAACATAAGTCAATGGTCTAGAATTTATGATATGTTCGATTTCCACAAATATTGTACTTAGGACTTCATCTTTTGGGAAATTTTCCCTAAGAACAACATCTAAACTTCGTCTTATTGATCGAATTATCCTTTCCCAGCTTCCCCCCATATGCGAGGCTGCCGGTGAATTGAATTTCCAGTTTATTCTATTAAGTGTCATGTGTGTTTTAAGGTCATTTTCGTCTAAGTTCATAATATTTTCTAATAATTCTCTGTTAGCTCCGTGAAAGTTGGTCCCGTTGTCCGAAAAAATTTCATTTACTGTACCTCGTCTACCAACTAACCTTTTCAATGCCATAATAACTGATGCTGTGTTCAAACTATGAGCAACTTCGATATGGACAGCTCTGGTTGTTAGACAGGTAAAAATTACGCCATATCTTTTTTCGTGTCTTCTACCCACAGTTACTGTTATGGGGCCAAAATAGTCCATGCCAGTTCGTGAGAACGGTTTTTCGAATACGGCTAATCGAGCATTAGGCAATAATCCCATTTCAGGTACCACTGGCTTGACTCTACGATTTTTACACAACTGACAATTTCTTAAAATGTTCTTGGTATTATTTCTTAACTTGGGAATCCAAAATTTTTGTCTTATTTCGTTTAGCACCAATTCCGTTCCACTATGAAAACTTCTTCTGTGGAACGCATCTATCAGTAATTTTGTAAATTCGTGTTTTGCGTCTAAAATTATTGGGTCTCTTCTAATTAAAATATCTTTTGCTTGATGGTGTATTCTTCCTTTGGAACAGAGTATTCCATTACGGTCTAAAACTGGTGATAATTTGTAAATTTTACTAGATCTTTCTATATTCTTTCCATCAACAAGTTTTGTAATTTCTTCCCCGTAATACTGTTTTTGTACCTCCTTATACCATTTATTCTCTGCGTCTTCAATTTCATCAACAGTCAGGGCCTCTAAATTTTTAAAACTCGTTGACTTCTTATTAATTCTATATTTTCTATTACTGTCCACTATAGTTTTCATTAATGTTTTTGAGAACCTGAACACCCAAGCAGTACTCCGAATTAACCTCTCCAATTTAGAGAATCTTTTAGGATCCGGTAGATATACAGAGTGATTCGGAATATCTTGTAAGGTCATAAGAGGCGATTTTCTAATTTCCAATTCTTCTTCGGAAATTTCTTGCATATTTTCTCTTTTAAGATCCTCTATTGGCAGTTCTTTATTTATTTGTAAAAACTTTGGTCCATAAAACCATCTTTCTGAATAAAATATGTGCTTTGCAGCGCGCGTGGCTTCATCAGCAACGTTTTCTTTCGTTGAAATCCAGTGCCAATCATTTTTCTCTGTAATTTCAAGAATTTCTCCAATACGGTGCGCGACAAATATTTTAAATCTTAAATTTTCAGATTTTATCCATGTTAAAACTGTTCTGGAATCGGTCCAAAGATGGATTTTATCAATTTTTACCTCGATTTCAGAAGTTATAACTTTTATCATCCTTGATACCATTACTGCTGCTTGAAGTTCAAGTCTAGGGATAGAAGTTTGCTTCAATGGACATACCCTAGTTTTAGCAAACACGAGTGATGACTCATAGATATTTTCTCTTCTAAAACGTAGATACACCACGGCAGCGTAAGCTTTTTCGCTAGCGTCGCAAAACCCGTGCAGTTCTGTGTATTCTGATTCGCTTAAATTTATGAAAAGGCCATAACTTCTAGGTATTGCTAACTTAGGAATTAATTCTTGGACTTCAGATATCCATATTTCCCAATATTGATTTAATGTTGAAGGTATTTCATCGTCTCATCCTATTTTTAACTTCCAAATTTCCTGTAAGATTATTTTGATTGTGATCATAATATTGCATAAAAACCCCAGTGGATCAAAAATTGACATACAAAATTTAAGTAGCTCTCTTTTGGTGGGAATTTTCTTGCCTGTTAGTACATCTTTGTTTACTTTCTTAAATTTGTCGTAAATATAAATTTATCCATGTCTGGTACCCATTTTAAACCTAAAACTCTCTCAGTTCTATTTTGTGAAAATTCCTGTATATTTTTCATTGACTGCGCTCTTAAATTCTCCGGAATCTGATTTAAAACATTCGAAGAATTGCAAATAAAATTACAGATTTCAAATCCTCCTCTTTTATGAACTTCTATTACTTGCATTATTAATTTTACAGCTTCTTCTTCTGTGTTTTTACTATCTAAGTAGTCGTCCACGTAATGTTTTTCAATGATCGCTCTGCTTGCTTCTGGAAATTCTTTTTCATTTTCTAGAGCGTTCTTGTTTTTCACATACTGCGCAAGACAGGGCGAACAAGTAGCCCCAAAGATCATAGCAGTCATTTCCAAGACATCTGGATCCCTATCTCTGTCTTTTCCTCTCCATAGGAACCTTTGGGCTGTTCTATCTTCTTTTCTAATTTTTACTTGATGGAACATTTCTTTGATGTCCCCTGCAAAGGCAATTTTGTTCTGTCTGAACTTCATTAAAACTCCTGTAAGTGGTCTAAGTAGATCTGGTCCTGACAATAATTCTGTATTCAGACATTTAAATAACTTTAACAATTACTATTATTTATGGACATTTGCATGTCTATAAATTACAGCTCATGAATATAAAATAGATATCCACCATGGACTGGACATTCAGTGGATATTGGGATGTTCAGTAGATATCCAAAAGATTTGGTGTGCTCTCTGGGAATTAGGCCAAATAATTTCGAAGTGTTGATCATGTATTGGAAACGAAAGTCACAATTATTGTTAATCTTGGTAAATTTGTGGACGAGTAAATCTTAGGAGTGCCTATTTAAGTCTTGCATCTTGGGCGATATTTTTATTCAAAATAGTAATTGCCAAGCCTACCAATTTATGAAAAAGTATGTGTTTTTATTTAAATATTATTTTCATTGTGTTCGACATAACATATATTATTATAAAAGTATTATTCGACATAAAAATATTCGTGATTTCATGAATTGCAGATAGAATACATCGTATGTCGCAACCCGTTAGATAAACCAACCCTTCCCACTGACAGAGTTCTTTTCTTTGGAGTGCCTAATTGTCAGTTATTCCATGAAAATGCGCGGATATTCACTGGATACCTTACACATCCGACTTGTTACCATGTTATTTCCACACGTTTAGATCACTAAAGGAGGAAATGATTCAACGATGACGTAGAAGTTAGGCTAAGCCACACGTGTGCAATTTGCTGTTAGTCTTATGTTTATAAAGTAGGCTATGCCCATCATAGACAGAGGTACGAATCATGTCCGTGATAATTACACATCTCTGAATTAAATCAAACTTACGGTTAAAAAGAGGAATTGTATACTATGGCATGCGTTAATTTTTCCAAAACCTACTTTAGAAACATTTTTTTTGGTCAGTTCATGTTTTAATAATAATAATAATAATAAATACAAGCGTCAATTTTAGGCTACGTTTTCCTAGCTGCGTCAAACGCGAGCGCAAAACGCTTGCGGTGTACGCAGAGCGATTTACGGAGTGTGCGTTGCGTGAACAGTGTTTTCCAACTTGGCGCAAATCACTTCGAATTAAAACGTTTTACAGTGCGTTGACTATTACAAATGGCTAGCAATAATATGATGAGAAAAGAGTAGATCACATCACGATGGAGCTATGAGAGGTTTAAGAATAAGTATTTATAATAAGTTAGTTTTTTTAAAACCAGGGAATTGGATGGCTGATTTAAGTAACTTATTACTAACCATTTGGACTTCAATGAATTGAAATGCATCATATTATCCTATGGGTAGTCCAGAACATTTTATTGAGTTTCTTTATCAGCCATATTCAACTAAAAAACAAATTACTTCCGCATGACGTTGCGTGATTGACTGCTCTCGAGATACAGCCGACGTTTCACGCAAGCGGACTCCGTCGTTCGCAGTGCAAGATACGCAGCTAGGAAAACCTAGCTTTAAGTTACGTTTTCCTACCTGCGTCAAACGCGAGCGCAAAACACCTGCGGTATACGCACAGTCGCCATTTCACGCACACTCTGTTTAATGCTGCGGAACACGCACAGTAGGAAAACGGTCCGATTTAAACTAAGGCTGTCAATTCCTGACGTGATAAACGGTTAACCGGTTCGACTGATTTTAACCGGTTTTAACCGGATTTTTACTATTATTATAACCGGTCTGGATATCCACTTAACCGGTCCGAATATCCGGTTAACCGGTCCGAATATCCGGTCCGTATATCTGGTTAACCGGTCCGCATATCCGGTTCGATTATCTGGTTAACCGGTCACATTATCCGTTTAACCGGTCTGATTATCTGGTTAACCGGTCCGATCAAACCGAGCCGGTCGAACCGGACCGGTTAGACCGGATTCAGCGGTTCAACCGTAACTGTAACCAGTTAAATCCGGCACTGGTTTATCCGTTACTGGTTTAACTGTAACTATCACCGGCTTAATCGTGGCATATTTTGGATAACTGTGATGTAAATTTATTAAAAAATAATAATTTTCTTAGTTTCGCTTTGTTTTGTTATTACATTTGTTTGTATTTTTTTTATAAAATAAATACAGTCTCATTTTATTTTTCTTTCTTTTAAATGTATAAATTTTAAAAACATCGATGTTTATAAATATCGTTTTTGTCACTTCGGTCATTTTATTGCCATCGATACTTTGTTTTTGGATATCATTCGATGTCAGTATCGATGTTTTAAGAAATATGCGCATCCCTACTAAGAGCTCAAACTATAATTGTTCGTTTATGTTCACGGTCTCGCTAAAAGCCATTTCGGGTACGGTTAAACCAGTTACGACTCAACAAGTGACAGGTTTAACCGGTTCGATTAGAGTTACACCGATTATTGCGGTTAAACCAGTTATAAACCGGTTACGTTCTTTAACGGTTTTTTGGTCCTACGGAACCGGTTAACCGTTTACGGTTACCAGCCTTAATTTAAACCATACAAGAGCAGTGTTGGCCGTGTTACGCCTGCGTCGTACGCAATGCGTGATACGAAGCTAGGAAAACGTAGCTTTAAATTACAGGTTAGCAAAAATTGAAGCACGATTTCAAAAATGTATAATACTTTCGTTTGCGTTACTTTTTGTTTAACAATTTTTCGAAAAAAACGCTAAAAATTACTAAAAAAATCAAAACGTTGCGAATAAGAAGTCAGATTAAAGGAAGATTGCATTCCGTTAGTTTTTTATACAAAAAAATAAAGCTCTAATTCTACTTTGCCCTTGCCTGGCTCTATTCTCTCAACATATTATATCAATCCCAGGGGGACTCGTGACCAACATTTTGGGGGTTCACAGTAGCAGAATATAGATATCGATACAGATATAGGTAAAAAACTGTCAGTGTTTTAGGAAGGTATATTGTAATCTTTCTAAAACACCGAAAGATTTTTTCATATATCTGCACTGATATCTATATTCTGTCACTGTGAACCCCCAAAATTTTGGTCACGAGCCGCCACTGATCAATCCTACTTATTTTAAAACGACTACCATACGGAATAGGTACTATTGGCAAGTTGCACTTGGCCAAATTTTTTATGAGGAGATCAAGAAGCTGTTATTCCGGTGAAAAAAATGCATTTCATTTTATGTAAAAATAGATTTTTTTTCTATATTTTTTCACACCAATCTACAAAAATGTTGATTTATATTTCAATGACCCTCGTATTTTATTGTGGGCCACAAAGAAGCAGTTGTAGGAATTCATCGGATAGCTGAAGCGAATTTTTCAGGTAACAATCATATACAGGGTTGGGATAAAGTATGAAACCAAGTAAATATCTTTAAAACGAAAAAGTCGATATTAATGAAACTTTGCAGGCAAGTACAATGACGCATAACGCATCTGATGCCATATTTTTTGTTACTACTGTACTTCCGGTTAGGAAGAATTTAGAACATACCTATGTAGACATAATTAGCAAACAAAAAATTTATTTCAGTAGCCGGCTTTGCACGTTCCAAAGATAAAGTAAGTAATGCACAATTTCTTCGATGAGCTTCAATTTTGAGTAAATTGATAACTAGATAAAATGAAGGAGTTGTGCATAACACCGGAGCAGATACTTCGCAGGAGTTTTACCTTTTCCAGCAAATCTCTTAATAATTAAGCTCCAAAAATAAACTTTCTCTTATTTTTATAAGGACCTTTCCTGCTTCAATTTTAAGACATCTAACCTATACAAAATCTCTACCTTTTCACGTTATATCTAGCGATCCTAAGTATTTTTCTCTCGTTCACTCGAACCCAACACCTCCTTGCAATAGTTCAAATCCTTATTCGCCTTTAAAGTCTACTATGTTTTGAGCACGCGCTTTTTACTCCATTTGCACTGAATAAATACTTCCACCTTTTGCTTTACCGTCCTAGCCATGTTTTTTGATTTAAGATTTTGAATTAAATTTTCTTAATTTATTGACCGTATTTAGTTAATTGGCATTTAAAGGTTCTACAGAAGCGGGAAAAATGTTCATGTTTTTTTTTTTAAATTGTTATTAAAGCACTAACCACACGAATTTTATATGCAAAAGTTATTTCATCACACAGATTAATCACAATAAATGTCTTACGTCTTGGCATTCTTGGTGTAACATGTATGTGAATATTGTCCCCAGGTGAGGCTGAAACTAAAAAACAAATAGTCAACACAGTTTTAAATTTAAATATATCTTTATTTTATAACTGAAAATTTACTTTGTATTAATTTTAGACAATTTTGTAATAGTTTTATTATAGGTATCACTACTAAATGTAATAGTACAAATAACTACATCTCGAAAAAAAAAAAATAAATATATATGTGTTCAATGTTCAAGTAAAATGCTGAATGAATTGTATAGATTTTGTAAGGAGTGATACACAACAAATATTTCTAAAGTAGGCCTTGAAAAAATTCACGTTTATCGAATCAGTGTGGGGATTTAATTCAGAGCCGCGCGTACTAATCACGGACATAATTCTCCGAGTTTGTCACTCTTGGCCTACTTTAGAAACATTTTTTGTGGATATCTTTATAAGTACACGATAAAAAGAAGTCATTTTCTGTAACATGATACAAAAAGGAATGCAACTATTTTTTAAATTTTTAAATGCACAATTAAATTTACAGATTAAGACCGGTTTATTTTTTTTAATTGGCATTACTTTAAAATATTCACGGAGAATCATAAGATAATACTTTTTCATAACTGTTTAAAAGTCATTAAAATTAAAAACTTTTTCAAAAAACATCAAAAATAAGAAAGATGCAAAATTTTAAAAAGCTAAAAACGAGAAACGACTAAATCCGTATTAAAAGTTGAGCTGTTAATGTTTTTTATCCTTTTCTCCAGATTTTTTATGTATGAATCACGATTTACTGTGTACTGGATATTGAAACTCATTATCCTGTGTCGTCTAAATTCACTAGTGTTTATCTGAAGTACCTAGTGAATAATTGTCATTACAGATCAGGTGGGATTAGTCAAAGGAAAGTGTCGACAACATTGCGGAAAAATCAATTGTATTCTTTTCACGTTCAACATGTTCAAGCACTACAACTTGTAGATTAAATTCAGTTTTATGAATGGTTCTTACAAAGGCCTGAATAGGATGAGCTTTTAATTTTATCAACGAAAATTCTACAAATTATGTAAATTAGGCAGAACCGTATTGGATACATTTTGGAATAAATAATTGTAAGTTTCTTATTTTTAATTTTTATTGAAAAGGTTGTTTATATTAAAGACTTCTATACACAATTAAAAAAATCAACTTAGGATTCACCCTGTATATATCGAGACAATGTACATAAAAATACATCTAACTCTACTAATTTTCTTGTTGTTTTCAGCATGGGACGTAGCCTGACTGTGATTTAAGGGGGGAGGGAGTCAGCATGATTGACCGCCTTTGATTTGAGGTGAACGAGCTTTTAAAACAGTTTAATTCATAGTTATTAAAAATAATTAAAAAAACTCGAAAACGGGAACTAAACCGAAACTGGTTTTAAGAAAGTGACAAGTAAAAGTAGAAATTATATTTTAATAATGATTTGAAGATGCAGCCCAAAAAATCGAAAAAAATTCTATAATAAACTTTTTTTTTTAAATCTTTAAGCCACCCTTTTGACATCATGTAGAAGGACAATAATTTTTTTTTTCAGTTTCCTCATTTGCAAAAATTGCATTTAGTTTTCCGATGTAAACCGATTTTCTCACTTCAATTTTCTATTAATTCTAATTCTGGTGGTAAGTTTTTAAAACATAAAAGTCAGCTATTGCTGTTCCGGAAGATTTTAAGATGTCTACAGATAACTCTCTAACTTTGGTGTGGTGAAGATTCTGTAGATCAAAGGCCGGCCCCTGTTCCCCACTGAAACGCTCTTTTAAAGAATTACAGAAAATCAAAGTATGGTATTAAAACAGATATTTTGAAGTACTCTTCAGATGTTGATACTGGGTTGGTGCGGAATTACCGTTTTGTTGCTAATCGGGACATACATATTTCTACGTCCAATTCCATGGTGATTGCTCTCATCTCATTCATGATAGCTTCTTCTGTCTCCTCAACTTTGTCACGATGCTCACTTACTAATTTCATGATATGTTCCATTTGCTGTGAACATTAACCAAATCTATTGCAACCACCTTTAAATTTAGATTAACTACGCAATTTTAGAAGCAATTTTGATTTTTTTAAATTTGTTAAAATTGTTTTTTTTACCCAACTCCAAGACGGTTTTGAAATCGATATTTAACGACGTTAAGACATTTTCAAGCTTATGGCGATTGAGCAGGAGGGGACAGCTGCCTTGTCTACGCCCAGGGTTTTCAGCAATATTACGTTGATAAAACTCAATTGTACGTACATATTTTTTTTCATCTGGGTGTATGTGCGCCGGCCTAATAACTCTAGAATGAAAGCGGCGACCAAATTGAGGTTTTGACTTTACTATATAATTTTTTAGAATTTTGGGTTTTTAACTTTAGTCCTTTAAATATCGGTGTTTTTAAAATGCAATAATTTCTTATAGAGCTTATTCTATGTACTGCGACACAGGTACTGGCTGTTACGATTTCAACATATTGCCATTCTGAATCTAGACATTGTTTTTTGTTTTTGTTGTTCTTAAACGTCAAAGAAATGATTTAACTTCTTTTAATGGATTTTATTTGTATGTTTATTCATTGTGACATATATTTATTAATTGTTTAGATAAATGTGTATCTTTACGCAAAGAACATAATGAATGGTGAAGTAACGATGATTTGCACGAGCTGTAACGAATTCCAGAAGAGCATTATTTTTGTAAAATATCTGTATTCAAATTACTTTGTAAAGTGCGGCCTTTTAAAAAATGGCCCATTTAAAATTTCAACACTCTGTATATCAAATGCTAGTCATCGGATGAAGTTGGGTTCGTGGACGGTTTTTGTTCAGGTTGAGAACAATATTTAAAAAATTATAATTAATGTCATAAGAGCACATGGCGTCACAATAATTCGGGAAAAATTGTGGCGTTATGCCTAATTTATCGTGGTACAAAAAGGTAGAAATGTATTCGTCTACTGGGTGCGTCCGATCAATGAAAGGAGAGGTTAATGTTACTTCTTGAAAAACTGGGAAATAATGCCAGGCATTTTTAGTTGCTTCCCTGTTTTTAAAAATGTCCAGGATTTTATCCCACAACACAGACTAGTAAAATCAAAAAATTACCATCAATTTTTTCAGCCATTTTATTAATAAACTAATTAAGTGCCACTGGATCCACCTTATACGACCGTCGTCCATTGCAATGGCAACTAAACGACAACGACAATATGTCGTTGTTGTCCTGTATGAAAAGCCTCGTATATTTCTGTATTTCACTAAAAGAATGTGGTTATATGACTTTTTATCGTACGACCGAAATACTTGTGTGTGAAAGCAGAGTACGTATTTACCGAGATACAGGGTGCTGAAAGTTTGAAATTAAAATTAAAAATTTGCCATAAATCAAAAACGCCTTTAATTTTTTTTTTCAAATTTAGTTACCAAAATGCTCTTAAAGAAAGTAATATTTTGACATATACTAACTTTTAAAAAATATAACCATTGGCGCGCTATCAGAGTTAGTGGCAACTTTTATTCCCCGTTCATTTTAAAAAAATAGTAATAACCTTTTATGGAGTTCTAGAAATTTGCTTCTAAACGAAAGTCTGCATGTACTTAGATAACACAGCCCCACAGAAATAAAGTTCAGACTTGCCGATCGGACAGATGTATTCCCATATATTTATCGACGCTGAATCCGATCACGAGCTCAGAAATGGCCCTCCACGTCTGGAATTGGCCCCAGGGGCCAAACATGGCCTGAAAGAGTCAGGACTGACCCAAATCGAGTTCCTGAGGGTTTTCGATTACGATGTTCAAATTGAACCACAGCCGACCTGAAGCTCAGCAACGCCGATGGACGTTATCTACGGGGACTATCCCAAAATTCACGCGGGTAATTAGAGAAACTCGGCGCTTGGGGTTTTTTGAGTTGCTGAATTCAAATATAACATCGGCAAACACCCCCTGGACACCTGGTGCGCTGGAACCGGCACGTGGACGTCTTATCCGAGAAGTTTTTTTGCCAAGATTGTCAAAAACAAGCCGAATAACATTGTAGGAGTATTTTTTGGAGCCCTCGATCCAAATTTCACGTCGAAAACGATCCCCGAACACCTAGTGCACCGAAACATCGTCTCCGAGGATTCTCCAGACACAATTGCTAAAGACAAACCGAAAATCGTCATGGGGGTTTCTAGGTATGCGGAATCCAAATTCCATCACGAAAACGTACCTCCGAAGACCTGGTGTACCGGAACTTCGGCCTGAACGTCATCTGAGAGGGTTTCCCCTCACTGTATGTATATACTTCCGTATGAGGAAGTAAGTCGGGGACTCTAAATTGTATCGTTTAAACTACTCTTTATACTTGACAATCGAGTGTAGAGGAATACATGGGTAAAGAATAGACGCATTAGAATCGGTGGATGGGACATTCGGGATCTATCACATGGGAGTAATTATTGAACCGAGCGTAATGAAACCTTCGACGTCAAATCTATTCGCAGAGTAGAAAAACATTGGCTTCACTCAATTTTCATGAGAATACCACTCGATTACTACATCCCAAACACGACTTTCTGGCCCTTAAGGGGTCGTTTTCCCAGTCCCAAAGGGGGAATTCCAGTTGGCCATAAACGTTTTGAGCACAGTCTGAGTTCGAGAATTAGGACATAAAAATGCCAGTGTAGCAATTGCAACGTCCGAAACACGATTTTCCGGCCCCTAAGGGGCCACTTTCCCGGTCCCAAACGGGGAATTACAGTTGGCCATAAACTTTTCGAGCACGGTATTCATTCCAGAATTCAAAAGTACATAAAAAAAACACCAATGTCATTGCGACGTCCGAAACACGATTTTCCGGCCACTGAGGGTCCATTTTTCCGGTCCTAAACGTGAAATTTCAGTTGGCCATAAACTTTTCGAACACAGTATTCATTCCAGAATTCAAAAGTACATAAAAATACCACTGATGCCATTGCGACGCCCGAAACACGATTTTCCGACTCCTACCGGGCCATTTTCCCGGCCCGCACGGGGAATTCCAGTTGTCCGTGAACTTTTGGACCACAAACCAGACTTTGGCTTTAGAATGCACCTTCAACCACGCCTCATCTTGGAATCCACCTTGCAGGCCACTTTTGGCTCCTGGGGCCAATTCCAGACGTGGAGGGCCATTTCTGAGCTCGGGGATCGGATTCAGCATCGAAAAATACATGGGAATACATGTGTCCGACCGCCAAGTCTGAACACTTTTTTTTGTGAGGCTGTGTAATTTGTAACGACTCAATATTTCTAAATTCTATTCTAGTAGGCACGTGATAAATATTTAATAGTTTAATATTTAAAAGCGTTTTTGATTTGACAAATTTTTAATTTTGATTTATAGCTTTTAACACCTTGTAACTACGCTCTTTAAGGGTGTATGTCCCATATCAAAATTCATCAATTAACGAGAGCTCTCAGGGGTACCTACAACGCTCTCAGGATACCCACAGCTTCAATAGAATATAGTGACACCCTTTATAAAAAAAACTGCTTTGACAAATCGGCACAATACACGATTGGACTTTAACATTAAAAGTATAGATGTTTAATTTGTGTTGTAATGTAACCCCCCCCCATAAAATTGTGGTCTAGGATGTTACAAAATTGGCGATGAAGATGGGATAGGTAGAGCACCTGGAACGCTCCATAAGGGAAGCTTCTAAGTTGCATAAAAAAAGCCAAGTTTTAAAATAGCAACTTATGTCAACCAATTATTAAAGATAAGCTTAAACAATAATTAATTTCTGGGTTTCTATCTATTAAACTAAATAATACATATAACGTTGTTTGCTTTTAAGGTTGGGTCCACAAATTTTTAATTTGTCCGCCTTAGAAAAATAAAAATTCTGGCGACGCCCAGGGGCCCACTTTCAGATCCGTGACTATGTTAATAAACAATAGGATTTGGGAAAAAATAATCCTGGAGCTATCCTTTAACTAGGAGTCATTTTTTGGCGACGGCATTTGGACTGGCTGAATAAGTGAATCCAGAGGATGGAATTCATAAAAAGATTTTTATCTTTTTCAGTACATCCGAGGACACCCTGTATGTTACCAACAAGACGTTTCTGTCACACTACTGGCGAGAAAGTTGAATTATTTCAAGAGAAATTTCTTTTTCATGTAATGAAAATTTAATTAAGAGTATGTGCTAGCAAAGTCGTGTGGTCATTTGTCACAAATTTTATTTTATTGGAAGGTTTGTGTATACACATGTCAAAATATAAATACACATTTCTAAATAAATAATGTATTTTATTAGATAATAAATCTGTCGTTCCTATTGGGACATCAATAATGTATAAATTTAGTAAATATTTGTATTTTTAATAATCTTGGAATGTTTAAATTACAATCCACAGCCATACGTTCTTCGAAATTAACTCATAAAAATATATCAAATGGAAATTAGTTAACTACTTCATAATAGCACACAAAAATAAGCATTATCAATAAAAAAAAAACCACAAGACAAATCACAGACAAACTTTACAAAAAATAATTACAACAATCTATGGATGCGGGACTGCTTTGCCATTTTTAATAGCAGAATTATAATTGCAATTATATCAATTTATGTAATCAAAAATATCTCATATAAAAATATTAAATATAATGGAGCCATTGGGTACTAAAATGTACTTACATTCAACCATTTTTCAATCTATATAATTTGTTGAAATAATTGCCATTATAACATCTATAACAAGTTATATTAAAAATCAGGTTGTTTGTATGAAAGCCAAGTTTAAATGTTATCATAAACGTCAATTCTTAACGTAGGCACTACGTAAGGAACAATTAGCGTTGGCGTAAAATAATGAATACCACATTTTAGTATGAAACAACTATGGTTATTATTGTTATTAGATTCACTTTTGGCTTTCACACTTGTTTTGCAGAGGCAAATTTAAATCTAATTTACTTTATTAAAAAAAATATTTTTTTTTACTTGATTATTACAAGTTTCAATAGATAGTACAATATGATTAAGTCTAGGACGGACACCATTGGAAACAGCTTTATGTATACAGTGCGGACGTAAATTATGCCCCACCCCTTCTAAATGCTAAATGGAATGAGATGAATTAATTAAACAACATTTTTGTTAATTTAAAACCAATATATAATATCCTGGCTTTAAGTCATAATAATATCTCATAATTATTTGGAGTATTATAATCTTATTTAAGACATTTTTGATTCTTAATAAAAAAATCTATAAATGTTTTATTTTTAAACTATATTTTTTCATCATTAATTCATCTCATATAAGTTTTAGAAGGGAGGTCACAATTTAAAGATCGCACTGTACATTTATAAAATAGATTAAGTACCATTTAAACAATTTAATTTAGCAAAATATATATAAATTCATATGCTTAATTTGAAATTACACTAATGATACACCCATTGCTAATCCTTTACATACGTGTCGAGGAGAGAAAACAAAAACCCAAATACAATTTTTTTTAAAAGTGCAAAATAATAAAACGCAGCATCCTGAAGCGGCAGCAATCTCTCTACCTAAACCCCTTCGAATTTGGTAGCATTTAAAATTTTAAAACAAGACGAATAAAAAGGCGTAAGGAGATTATTAGAATTTGCATTGTATAATGTTTATGTTTTAGCGTTATTAAACTAATTTTGAAATTTTTCATTTAGGTACCTACCCTATTTTTTTAACAAATTGTTTAAACAAATTAAGCTGTCTTTAATTTCTCTTTTCCTTCATGTACTAGAATCATTCCTGTATACCAGTGCCAGATTTATATTTTTTTATGAGTGTAGGCCACTTTATTTCCAACGCCCCATGTACCTTTTTAAAATAATAATTTTCCATTTGTAATAAGGAAGGCACTAAAGTTAAATAAACGAATGAATTAGTCATTAAGAAAGAGCCTAAAAAGAAGGCCGCGGCCTATTGACAAACCCAGGACTGCTGTACACTAGAAGTATGTGAATTTCACTAGCCCAAAAATTATTTCCAAATTCAATATTAAAAATGCAGTATCGTGAAGCAGCAGCAACCTCCCCACCTAAACTTTCTTTAAATCGATGGTAATTAAAATTTAAAATATTTTAAAATCCAAAATTTTGTTTTCGCATTTATATCTAATGTATCGCGGTAAAAAAAATAATTTTACACTCAAATATTTAAAATTCATTTTAGGGACATCATGTACATATCAAAAATTATAGATTATATCATCGCAAAAAACTTGTATCCGAAGACTTTTCTTCTCCAATCATAAATAACATAAATATACCAAAAAGTACAAAAACAACCCCCCCCCCCCCCCTATAAAATTTCCATCCAGTTGCTCTGCCTATGCCCAAAATCTAATCAACTCTTCATGGGCCCCTGGAAACCCTATGTTCCAAATCCCATCGAAATTGGCCGGATAGTTTGGGCTGTATCGTGCTAACATAAAATGTTACACATACTTACATCCAGACATTAAAAAATAACATATTTTTTCTACTACCGTGCGTAAAGTGAAAAGTTATTTTAGTGAAAAAAAGTAACTTTTATATTTCTAATATTAGTGGATAATTTGTATAGTAGTAAAAAAAATATTGCATGCAACTCGTGTGTAAAGTCCCTTTTTTGACTCATGTGACATTCACATTCGTCAAAAAAGAATAACTTTACACACTTGTTGCATAAATAACTATTTTGGGTTCATAGGATGCCAAAACGTAAAAATGTGGTGTTATAACAAATTCAAATTTTGGAATGATTGCAATAACGTCCCTATTTTTATGAGTTGTTGGATTAAAAGATGTTTAAGGTGCACAAATTCGACTATCTTAAAATAAAAAATGTAGCGTATATGAGTAATCCCAACATAAATGCATATTTTTTTTGTTATCTCTCGATCTCGTCACATTCTGGAAAAAATTGGCAAGGGGTTTGGTAATATCCTGCATATCGTTTGATAGTAAAACTCTTAAAGAGACATTTAAAAATAATTTGTTTTACAAACAAAGAAATAAGACAGGATTAAATTTGGACAAATATAAAAAATATATTTTTTTAAATACACACACTTTACATTCGATTTTGTAAAATATGCAGTTCAGGCATACCAGCATTGGAAGCAAGCAAGTTTTAGTCCCTCAAGGAATCTCTTATGGACGTCTTCGACGAAAAACAAAAATTGTATTTGCAAAATTATTCAAAAACTAAACAGTTTTCAGCGTAAAATTTATTTTAAAAAATAGTTCAATTTACAATATTCCCATTTTACTTTAAAAATAATAAAAATATTTTAAGCAGTAGCTAAGTGACGAACGCGAATAAAATATATTTCTCATAAAATGTTTGTTTTCAAAAAAATTTCGTCTGGAATTACTATTACTAGAATACAAATCACTACCTTTACGTCTTTGACATATTAAAATGATTGTCACTTAAAAACTTAAACTCTATTTTTATTACTAAAACAGTCTTGAATCATATTGGGTACTGAACGACTAGTACTAATATGACCTTGTACATTAGCCTCCTCATTATCTAGAATAAACCCAATGGGTCTCGTAACCTGTCCTTGAGGTACGTTATTTAAACTCAGCGATCTAGTAGTAGTACGGCCAACATCAATATTGTTAAGCATGCACAAATGGTCAATAGTTACGTTAGGATTAACAGTCTCTGTTTTCGTACCATGTAGTATTCTGGGGAAATCGCACTGCTCACATTTATCCAAGATTGGGTGATTGAGGAATGTACATACGTCACAGTTCCATTTGGGACCTTCGTCCACAGGAGGAGTGTATTGTATTCTTCTCCGACTTTGTTGTCGGATCCTTGGCGGTGGGGTGGGAAAGTCATTAATTACTTGACCTGTGTAAATGTTATTGTAAAATGCGTCACCTAAAAAAATAACAATAATTTAGCTCCGTTTTAAAATAGCGAAATTCACTATCGAATAAATATTTTTTATATTAATAACTCGTTTAACGTTTACTCCAACATATTTATTGGACGGTTTCTTATCAAAACTATATTGTTTAATTATTACTGTTAAATATTTATAACTAACGAATATAAAATTAAAGTATATTTTACTTCGTTTAAAAAAATAACCGTCAATTAACAAAAATTTGTTTTGGGTTTTACTCGGTTTTAACAGTTACTTTCGAGAAATAAAATAGGTACTCTGATAAAAATTCTAAAATAAACAAATCAAATGATGTCAATAAAACAGCTTTTCGGTTACAGTTACAGCTGATTTTATTATTTTCAAAAGATATTCTACTTTTAAATTTTGAATTATAACGTTAAAAGTATGTTGGTTGGTTCAGAGAGTTGGGGCAAAATTTCATAGATAATAAAAAATTGAACTAATTTGTTTTCTATCGACGATATTTTGATTTTCAAAACGTCCTTAAATTGGACTTCGAAATATACAATTTTTTCTAATTTTCAATTAAAAAGTATTTTAGTTATTATCTTAAATATAAATTGAGGTAGTTTTCATCGAGAGGAAAGGTTTATTCTAAAGATGAAATGAAAAACTGGGGAAAAAAGGTTACTCTATTAGGCACGAAAAAAGATGCGTATAAATATAACTCGCCAACAACGGGCCCAGGTTCGTCAGATTTGTACGGTGTGGTGTAACCCCCCCCCCCCCCCGCAGACTTCGTTCTTTTTCATCCGTTCATATTGCCGCGATTCGGAACGTCGTCGAATTTTTTGCGAATCTTTGATTTTTTTTTATTTCATGTCGCTGCGCCGCGTAGAGAATCTTTTTTGTTTTTTACTGTTTGTATTATTGCATTATTATGTAGTTTTTTGTATTTCTTTAGTAATATACTGCTTCGTTCTTTTTATTTCGATCTCTGTATTCGACAGATTTTACACATCATAGGCAAGGAAATTGTCTATAACTCAATAAAATCAATAAGAAATTGTTTGTATGCTGCTTTTTGGTCCATGGTAAATAATAAAAAATAAATAAACAAAGCGAGTTAAACATGTGTGAACTTGACCGCGGTACTGTATAAAAACCGACGATTGTAACCGAAATCCCCACAAACTGTCGGTTTTGAATGATAACTGACGTACCGTCTAGGAATGCGCATCGAACATAGATATTTTCGAAACATCGATGTTTTTTGATGAAGTTTCTTTGTACCTGAGCGAATTTTCGAAAAACCCACTTGAAATTTGGAAACAACTAGCACCAATATACTCAGCACTTGCAAAGTTCGCCAAAATGTATTTAACAATAATCGCTACTTCAGTACCCTCAGAGCAACTCTTTTCAATCGGATTAAGGAAAAAACATCTAAATTACTTTTTTTTTCAAAGTTTGGATAAAAATTCTTGGGATTTGTGTTAATACCTAACTATTTTTTTCATTTTTGATATTTTGATAAAAAAATGTTCAATGTTTTGTTTTTGTATTAATACATAATATAATTTTCTAAGTTGTATATATTTAAAATATACATAGCTTTTACTACTGATTTCTTAAGAGCGTTATCCAGTACGCTTCTAAATCTGATTTCAAATCTGCTAAATAATACGCGACGCAGTACCTCTCAGTCCAATTTGGCAACGTCGCACGCTCGATAGCTCGATGTCTGTAGGATGTTTCTTTGAGAGATATTCAAGTCGGATTCGGATGTGCGTTTTAGTTTTTAATAGAGCAAAATTTAGTACAAAAGTCGCTTATTGCTCGAGATGATAAAAATTGGCGCAGAACCAAATCAGACCCTATAGGTATTATCTAAATAAGTAGTATATGAAACGACCACTTAGACATTTTTCAGTACCTATGTAGGTCAGACATTTTATATAACAAAAAAGAAACAAAAATCAGCAATTATTAAATATTAGTATTATTTACATCACCCTAGATTGTAAACTAATCGAGTTATCGACTTGATTTTTTTTATGATGAAGTAGAAATACGACCGCAAGTTTCAAAAAATATTATAAAATGACACCCTTATAAACGAGAGTCGATTATTTCTGGGAGAACACAATAATTCATATAAAAACACTGAAGTTTTCTTTGCATTGTGTTATGCCAGAAATTATTGTCTCGTTCAATTTTTTCCACTAAAAAACCCAGAGGGGTCCACATCATGAAAAAACAACATTGCCTTTTTGTTATGTGAAGCTGGCCCTGGACCTGGTAGAAATAGTTGTGTTTTTGTTTCAAATGTATATTATTATTGTCGTCAATTAATTCATATTATATAATTTTTTGCCTTATTGCATCTTGCGATGTTAACTTTGAGGCAGAAGCAGGGCATTTAATTTCAATTATACAATCAGTTCCTACCAGGCCATTAGGACTAGCCCCCAAAATAACACAAATCCAGATCGACAAAACAAAACCACAATTTTCGACATGCATAATTTTTTTGAAAATTGACTTAGTGCTATTTGTTCTTTTTCTAATCCATATCTTTTATGATCAATTCCCATGTGCGTGGAATAAACCAAATGTTTTATAAAATTTGGTTTTAGTCGCATTTTACAATTAGTACCAAAATTAGAAACAGTTATGTGTACACTTGTTTCCATGTAGGATTTTTTCCTTGCCCTCTAGTCTCTACTCCAATCAATTCTATTTCATGAGAGTTTTTTGTAATTATTTTAAAAATATTTCTTTTTTATTTTAATACTCCTTATCATTTAAATCGGGTATAATATTATCATAGTCAAGAAGACCGTAATCTTAATCTGGTAGAACATTTGTTTTACCTTCAGTCAGTTATACGAGTTACGTCGTGATAACTACAAGCCTCTGAATAAAATCAAAACTGTCATTTAACAATAAAGAAAAATTTTATCAACCGACATGCGTGATTTTTTTCCATAACATAATTAGCATTTTTTACTATCACATGTCGTGATAGCTGTACAACTGATCATTATATTATTATGATTTAATGAGTGCTATGATAACTGATTCATAATTATTAAGTGATGTGCATGGTTCATAGATAATTCAAAGTTTTGATTAACATTTTGGTTCTAAAAACTGCCAGATCAAAAAAGTATGTATTGCTTTTACATAAAATAAAAATGCCACAGTAAAGATACACTTTTAAATTATCGGATGCCAGTAGTTTTTAAATCTAAGAAGTCTGGTACGGTTTTTTATAGATGTTCGTTTAAAAGAAAACCGTATTTTCTATTTCCCATATTATATTATTAAACACACTATCACCAACGACGATAACACAATTTTTTTAAACTCTGTCACTCTTTTGTAAATGAAAATACTATCTATTTATCTATGAACTAAACAGAAATGTAAAATTAATGTGGTTGTGAGACGTATTCAGTATTTCCCCTCCACCGGTCGATCGGGGCATAATTCGCATTTTTAACGCGTTTCATTTCAACTAGTTTCTACACGCTGGATCAAGTAAGCGTCTCAGAAACGTCAAATCTGCAGCAGCGTTACGAAAATTTAACCTGTCTGGTTAGAGGTTAAACAGCAAGCCGATCCTGGAGACATGGTCAATATCAGTGCGACGTTGCTAAGTAGTTATTATCTCGGGTAAATCTAAATAATTTCCAGGTTGACAAAAAAATAGGCTTTGTAAAAACAAACATAGTGGAAATAAACATTATATTTTTTGAATAAAAATACGGCTACAGACTCGTTTTTTTTACATTTTGCTTTGTTGATATATTAAAAATGCTTTTTTTAAGCTATTGCATAGCTTTTATCGCGGGCTTTGAGCTCGACGACCGAATCAAGAAATTCCGTAACGCCCGTAATGAAAAAAAACCTAACACCCCCCCCCCCCCTCCGACCAGCACACCGGTGCGGCGTTAAACAATATTAACTTCTCAATAAAAGAAAATCTAAAAATCGATAAATATAAAAATCGATAAATATAAAAATCGAAAAATCGAAAACTTGAAAAATCGAAAACTTGAAAAATCGAAAAAATTAAATTCAAAAATAAAAAAATCGGAAAATCGAAAAATCGAAAAAACTAAAAATCAAATCGTAAAATCGAAAAAGAAATTCCATAACGAAAATAAACCTAACACCCCCAACTCCGACCGGCACAGCGGTGCGGCGTTGAAAGCCGTGCATCGTCTAACGTCGTTTCAGTTCGGCAGACTTCGGCACGGTGTTTGTGTGCGTGCGACTAGACGTATGCGTGTAGACTAGCTGCTAACTGCTCATAACTGATTCTATCTCTTTTAGACACAATTTCGGAAAAATTGAATTTGAAAATGAATAATGATCCACAAGAATCCACAACAAAATATGGGACCACCATTGACGCGGTATTTTCCAGTTACCATAAACCTATAGTTTCAATGATAAAAATTCCTGAATAACCTACATGTATTGTAAGATAATAAAAATATTTTAAACAATATTAACTTCTCATTTATTCAATAAAAGAAAAAAATTTGTTGCCTTATCGGTCACCACGCTCAAAAAGTGTAACTTGAATTAATATCAAAGAAAAAAATACTACATAAATAAAATAAATAAATAATTATAAGTGCATAAGTTGATAAAAAATGCTATGCAATAGCTTTACCGCGGCAGTCCCCAAGTGCCACACGTATTTTTTTTATATATCAAAATTTGGACTCCGTAAACCCATTATGCACGACTCCATAAATATGCATGCCAAATTTGATAAAAAAATATTAAAAAATAGGCCTGGAATCTTGGAATTACTTTTAAGTCAATTTTAGCACATGGATAACGGTCTTAATACGACCATTATTTACTTTATAGCATTAAATTACAAAAAATACATGTGGCACTCGGGGACTACCGTGGTAAAGCTACTGCATAGCATTTTTTATCAACTTATGCAATTATAATTATTTATTTATTTTATTTATGCAGTATTTTTCGATTTTTCGAGGGTGTTAGGTTTATTTTCGTTACGGAATTTCTTGATTCGGTCGCCGCGTTCAAAGCCCGCGATAAAATCTATGCAATAGCTTAATAATGAAATAGTTAACACTGATAAAATAAAAATTAATATTTTATAAATCTTGCAAAAAAAATTAATATCTAATATTTACGCCAGCCGGGGAACATTTGTGATACCAATTTATTAGAAGCCAGAGAAAGCTCTTCTAGTTCTTGTATTGCATAAACGTTCCAGTCCGCAGACGTATATTTAACTCCGCTTCATACTAATACGAATAGGGTCGGATAAAACCTTCTACGGCTTTCAAGTTGAAAGTTTCAACGCCGCACCGCTGTACCGGTCAGAGCGGGGGGTGTTAGGTTTATTTTCGTTACGGTGTTACGGAATTTCTTGATTCGGTCACCGCGCTCAAAGCCCGCGATAAAAGCTATGCAATAGCTTAAAAACATAACTTAAAAAAATCAGTGTTTCAATTTCGATGTTTTTGTGACATCGATATTCTTTTTCGATTTCCATCATCGATGTTTTTCTTGCGATGCGCATCCTTAAGTACCGTCGTCGTTCTAAAAATCAAGCGCCGATAGATATTTTAACCGATGATGCAACACGACGGTTTTTTACCACACATCAGTTTTTGGTGTTTTTGACACCACGCCGTTCCGAATCGCAGGGATACGAACGGATGAAAAAGAACGAAGTCTGTGGAAGGCTTAAGAGATAAAGAGAAATTCTGGTTTTTGTAGAAAGCAAATAAAATAGGAAATTGAAAAAAAAAAATGATGGCATAACACTTGATTACAATACGAAAGATTATCACGACTTGAATTTCATTGAGAGAAATGTTAATTGCCCTAGTGGTGCCCAGGAGAGTCTCGTCTCGAAAACGAAACGAGACAACGAGATATTCGGACGGAGCAAGACGAGACTTTTATTGGTCTCGCCTCGAGTCTCGCAAGTGAATATTTCTGCGTGTGGCATCTGCACTACAAAGGATGGCGCTGTCATACCACAGCTGTCATACCGCCGCCTCGATCGATTTGTTTTGTCGATACTGAAAGTAGTTTTGGTATGTTTTTTTTTTATTTACAGCTATTGGATTTTAAAAATGTGTTAACTATAAGAAAAAGAGACCGCTTAGTTAATCGCCTATTCAGCAAAGATGTCTCATTAATCTGTTTTTTTTTTCGAAAACATAAAAAGATATCAATTTCCATTAAAAAGGTAGGTTTATGTACGAAAAAATAAATATTGTAATATTTTTATTATCTAAAACGCGTTTGAAATTGGCTAATTATTTTAAAATTAGTTTAAAATAAAAAATATATTGCTTCACAGAGTAAGGTCTATTCCTTAGCTTTCATTTGGTACTCAGTTTGTGATAATTAGTTGTTAAAATTTAACAACAAAAATCTTTTACGAGACTCTACGTACGAGAAACGAGACAAGACAAGACCGGAGACGAGACTCGAAACAAGACAATATTTTATTAAAGTCTCGTTTCGTTGGTCTCGTGATTATCACTAAATTGCAGTTATTAGTAACACATTTTCGTAATAAAAAGTTACATAAGTAATGAGTTTTAACAGAGATTTGAGTTAAAATGAATAAGTAGTCATCTAATGTATCCAATTTAATATAAAGATTTTTTCTGATACTAATTTAGATTCTTAAAAAAAAAACATACACTTTACACCTAATTTAGCGGCACATGACCTTTTTCTGGACGATAAAAATTAGAATGTATTTTCTGATTCATAGAAATGTGTGATAATAAAAAAGAAGAAAGCGTTTATTGTTTGGCAAAAAAAATAAAAACAGGAGCCAATTTACATACGGAAACATTCATATACATTATGTTGTGAATACCTTCCAGATTTTATAGGTTTATAGACTAACAAACGTTCTGCAATGTTTGTAGTCATCTGAAAGTGCTAAGGGCATACATTTAAATTGACTGATAGGTTGAAGAAATTTATTAAAAATGAGATAGTACTTACCATCTAATTCTAACTCTTTACATTGATATCGTAGATGCTTTATTTCTCTTATTAGCTGTTTCTCCATGTCAAGGTTTATCTCACTTTCGAGTCTATTTTTCTCTAATTCATCAATTTCTTGTTTCATTATCACCAGTTTAGCTTTTTCCGATTTCAGTTCTATTCGTAATCTTTCTATTCGAGCCTGCTGCTTTAATATCACTGGCGCTATAATAAAAGTTAAATTATATTAGTTAACTTATATTTATATCAAAGACAAAAATTAATTAATAAAAAAAATATGAAGATTGATACGTTTACTATAAATTGTTTAAAAAAATTAAAATCTATCTTTAATTTATTTTTCTATTTATTACATTTGTTCATATTTGTTACAAGAAACCCCAAGACACATGTGGAGAGTATTCCAAAGCAATCTGTAACAGTGTAGTGTACAGCTTGGTATCAAATATTATTAAAATGTGGCATTCCAAAGATATATCAAAGATTAATAGCAAACCGAAAACGTAAAATTAGATACATAAGAATAGTTTTGGATAAGCAGGATGGTGTAAGATTCACAGGGAAAAGTTGAGGTAATTATCAGGGCCGACGAGAGGGGGGTATCCGGGACAAATTCCCGGCAACCGGGCTCAAGTAGGGGCCCGGCAGCGGCATAAGGGGGGCCCGGCAACACGACGCCTTTTTTTTTTTTTAGAAGTTTGCCACAAGAGCTCAAGAACACAAGAGAGAGGAGTATTTTTTTTAGCAATTTGATATTGAAAGGGCTTAATTTTGTTTATAAAATTGTCGCGGGGCCCGACCTGGAAAATTGTCCCGGGGCCCGACATGGCTCTCGGCGGCCCTGGGAATTATTTAGGAGCTTAGAGAATGGTGAAAATCTGAACACCTCAGGTCCATAGGTATATATTTATAAACGGATCTCAAGTAAGTCTGGCTTAGATGGGTTTGTCCTTAAACGATAATTGAAGTTTGGTTATATTGCGGGAATTTAGAGATGGACAGTTACAAATCCATAAATGTACTTTACATTAATTCCAGTGCAACACTGAATTTACCTGGAACTCTAGAGCAGTTAAAACTATACTTCGATCTTCCGTTCAAGGGCGAACTCGAATCAAACGCACTTGAGTTTGGTTTATAAAATATGGACCTAAGTATATCTATGTAATCTATTGAAGAGATAGATATGGAGGGGTCTTATTAATATTCTAAGGTTCTTGATTTCTGGTGATACGTAGGATTGATGAGCGTTAGGGAAATTATATTGGACTAAAGTTAACTAAATAGCATGTGCTGTGACTAATGATATATGATATAATATGTAGCTGCAAAATAAAACTTGTGGGCTGCAATTGCTGAACCCAAAAACTTGTCTTTCTTTAACAAGAGACAAGTACATTAACAGAGAATGTGAATGGCTCTTTTACTTTCCAATCTGTATACAGATAAGGAAAGTATAGGAATCATGATTTTTTTCGACCTCCAGTTTTCGACGGATTTTTACGTTTTGGGGTCCCCTGAATCCGTTTTTTCTCGATGATGTCTGTGTGTGTGTGTGTGTGTGTGTGTGTGTGTGTGTGTGTGTGTCTGTGTCTCTGTGTGTGTCTGTGTCTCTGTGTGTGTGTGTGTGTGTGTGTGTGTGTGTGTGTGTGTCTGTGTGTGTGTCTGTGTGTGTGTCTGTGTGCGTGTGTGCGCGTGTGTGCGCGTGTGTGTGTATCTACCATAACTCATGAACCGATACAAAGAAAAACACCAAATTTTAAACTTAAGTTTTATGCGGGCCTGCGGTGAACTGATTAGATTTTGGGCAGAGTCGGAACATTTGGGGGGGTACTTTATTGGTGGTCATTTTTATATTTTATGGAATATATCCGTTATTTACGTTTGGAGAAGAAAATTCTTCAAATAAAAGTTACTTACAATATTATTATCTATAATTTTTGTTCTATACAAAATTTTCCTAAAATGGTCCGTATTCGAGAAATTTTACAAAATGTAAAAAAATTATTGTTTGTAATATAATTCTCTATAATTTTTATAATTTCTCTAAAATGGACCGTATTCGAGATATTTGAGCTAATAATGTGTAAATTTCGAATTTTGAAGAAACTCAAAAACGGATAAAGGAAAAAATAAAATTTTAAAGTTTTATTTCGGCCTGAGGTAAAATGATTAGATTTTGGAAGAAGGCGGAACACCTGGGGGTTACTTTATGGGAGGCCGTTTTTATATTTTATGGAATATATCTGTTATTTACGTTTGGAGAAGAAAATTTTTTAAATAAAAGTTACTTCTAATATTATTTTATATAATTTTTGTTTTATGCAAAATTTTCCTAAAATGGTCCGTATTCGAGAAATTTTACAAAATGTAAAAAAATATGATTTTTAAGAAAATTGTTGAATTAAAAGATGTTTGCCATATCGATCTCTAAAATTCTGTTTTTTTACATGATTTCTCTAAAATGGACCATAATGAAAAAATTGGAGGAAAATTATAAAATTTAAATTTTTCAGAATTTTTGAGTTAGATGTATGTGGAAAATGTATATATTAAGTTAACCTCTAAATATTTACAGAGGTGCTACAATAGGTTGTACAAAATAACCGAAAAAAGCCCGTAATAACTAGATAGGAAAGTCATGTGTTGGACACATCAGATTTTTCTTAAACTCAAAGCATCCTTTTCAATGTTTATTCATTAATTATTAAAAAAAAATAATAATATACTTTCTGTCAATTTGCGCTGCTTATGAGTTTGAAATTTATTATCTACCTAATTTGAAGGGTCTTATATTAGGTAGATGGTTATCTATCATAATAATATTTATTTGCAATTAATATCAAAATAATCTTAAACTAGTTCTCACCTATATTCCATGTTTCGTACAAATTCATTATCATTTTTCATACTTTATTTTTAATTTATAAATAATATATTTTCCGTTTATAAAACATTTAACACTATAAAAGAGATTGTTAGTGAAGCGTCAATCAATGGCCATGAACACTGATAATGTGTGTAGACATTTGTTTGTTCGTCGTAGAACTAGTATTATCACTGTACTAATCGTTTCGTTTATCACTTACAGCGCAACGACATAAAATTTTAAGATTAAAGACATGCGCGGGACGATAATTAATTTTTTTAATGTAGTACCTATACCACGATTACCCACACCCGGGAGTCGATCTTCGAGTTGTAGGAATCTGTTCCTATAGGAATTTTTGACATTTTACTACGTATACGAAATTCATGACATTGCCCTATATAAAAATCTCAAAGATTCCTATAGGAATAAATTCCAACAACTCGAGAATCGACCCCTTCTGGGGCTATTTTCAAATTCGAGATAAAGGAGTGCTCTATCGAGAGATAGGAGTTCTTAATTCGAATTTTCAAACACCTTGCACCTTATTGAACAAGTTTTTGTTGTTCCTTCTTGGTTAATCATAGAATTTAAATACTCTCGAAATATACTGACAGAAAGTCAGTGAGTACTTACTTGCTTTCAAAATACTGTTTCCACGTTGAAATCTTTAGAGAAATGAGTACTCTCTTAGTTTGAAAATAAGTCCTCTGGGGAACATTATTGTATGTGATACATTTTTATTCGAGACTGCAAATCGTGTAACTTTTCTTTTAAACCCCATTAGCCTTGTTTACTTTTGTTTTATTTTTGTATCATAACGCATACCACTTTGATAAAATTAATAAAAATTTTCTAATATACTCGTACTGCTTACACCAACCCTGACAGTTTACAAGGCAACAATGTTTAGAGAGAATAATTGAAAATATTTATTTATAGTTTCAAAAATCACATAATTCCTATTTCAAAATATTTTGCTGGGTTTCGCAACTGGGGTAAATTGTGCCTAAATCGCCTGGCGAGAAGAATAGTGGCGAAACTCAAAAATCTAGAGTGGCCATCTTTTAAGATCTCTTTACTAGGTGGGTATCTATTAAATGCACTATACACGTAATTTCAATCAAAGGATATTTACTGTAAACCACGTGAAATTAGTAAACATTAATTAGGATAGTATCATGCATCGTAGCAGGGACGTCATATATTTTAAAAATAAATTTGTATTTAATAGTTATGTCAAATATTTGCATATGAGCGATTTTAATTTAAGACTTTTTTGCATAAGAACCATTACTTTCTGCGAAAAATGGCAAAATAGCTTATGAATTTGTGTTGATCTTATGAATCATGTAGTACTTTAAAATTAATAATTTATTAAAAATTAATATTAATTTAATTATCAAATCTATTTTACTATTAATATGGACATTACATCAGTCAAAATAGAAATTATGCATCTGACATATATTTGACAGTTTATGCGGAAAGTATATTCATATTAACACAAACGTGGAATAGTACGAGTGTGGAAAATCACTTTTCACACAAGTGATGTACAATATTTTTCCTACGACCACAAAATAATGTCATCAAAAAAATGTAAAACCAAGGTTATAACTATAATAATTAAAATGTATTTAAAAAAATAATCAACAATAATCGTATTTATTCAATTTTTATATTTTCTAAACAAAAAAAAACTAAAAAAAAAAAAAAATTCTGTCCCGCCAGGATTCGAACGCGGTCGAAAAATGACAAAGTTGATAAGTTCGATGTCCTAACCACATGAGCTAATAGCCCTTGTGTCAATTGAATGATCTAATCGGTTATGTATTTAACCTGAATAAAGAGCAAACATTATTTTAAAATTATTTTAATAATAATTGTTAAAGATAAATATCTAGCATCTAATTTACAACGATTTCAATAATTTAACAATCATATCGATTTTAGTATTAATATGGACATTACATAGATCAAAATAGAAATTAGGTGTTTGACATTTTGTGACAACTACTGCGGAAAGTAACATATTCTCACTCGGGTGGAAAGTAAATTCTTATTCATACGCGTGTGATATAGGGCACTTTCCATAGGACTATATAGCGTGATATGTGTCACTTTCCTAAGTGGTCGTAGGAAAAGTAGATTATTATTCACACGCGTGTGATATAGGGCACTTCCCATAAGACTAAATAGTGCGATATATGTCCATCCTTAATACATTTGATAACTGTACAGGTAAATTAATTCCACATAACTTTAACTTTACCAATTATTTAATTTGATGATCATTCATATTGTTATATCTTGTAATGATAAGTTACTTTAC